ACTTGGAGTGCACCTCCACCAACTGAGCAAATGAGCAATTTGAAGCACCTCGTTGTGCCTTAATAGGTTCGCCACAACACATGTGGGTACATATCTAAATGTAAAGTATCTGAAATAATACACATCTAGAAATACATAACAGTATATTACTTTTAAAATATATAAAAACAAACTTGAGTGGGGGCCAAGACCACACTGGTCCCAGTGTGGCTCTGTCCCTGGGAGGGATAGACAGTAGAAACCCGACATGTACGCACTATAAATATATATATATATCATGCATCCATGAATATTTGATTTTATGAATTTGAATTGCAATTACTTACTTTATTTCAACTTGAATTGTTTCTTGTTTCATCTTTTGTAGGTTATGTGGTTCCCTGAAGTTGGCTCGAGTCAATAGAAAGGGATTATATATATAACTCCTTGAAAAACCTGTAAGCTAGTGAGGCTCCCCGACAGGAGCCGAACAGTATTACCCATGACTTCCGTGTACCACTAGTGCCACAAAGGCTTTTGGTGGTCTTATTGGCGCATACCACGGTGGGGTCTTCGACTAGGGTGAAGTCGTAACAAGGTAGCCATAAGGGAACTTGTGGCTGGATTGAATCCTTCGCGATGGAAATGACCTCTTCCCCCAACCCAAACCCAACAAAGGGCAAGCACCTACTCCTAACAAAATGAAAAGCAGCGAGCTCCGCAACAAAAGCGAAGCGAGCCACGCTAGTAACACGCCTCCATTTTCAGTTGGTGTCATATCAAAGCTTGACTAATAGGGGCGTGCTAGCCCATAACCTAGGTTGGTTGGGAAAAGCCGTTTCTATGTTATAAGCCTAAAAAAAGTCCTTACTGAAAGCGCTAACGAGCAAGAAAACATATGCGCCTTAGTGCAACGGCTTTCACGCGAGTTCTTAATCCGTTGCTCTATTGCTTTCAAGCCCAAGCCTACATTTGCTTAGTACAAAGAGCAATAACCGTGCTTATCCTTCTAATAAAGAAACAAAAACTTGCGGAAGAAACCGATTTACTCATTACTCCTACTACTAGTATAGAAGAAGATCTATTAACATGCATGGCTACCTATATAACAAGGGGCCTCTGACCTCTATCTCACAATCGAAAATAGAACCCATAGCTTCATGCCCCGACCTGAACTAAACTACTACTAGCTTAGCTGCCTAGCTACTAATAACTTGGAACATATATATATATATATATATATATATTAGTCTGAAAATAAAACTCATTCCGTAAAATAATGCTTTAAGGGAGGAGGTTGGGGTTGGGTCCAACTTGGATCCGCATCTTGAAGGTCGAAATTGCCCTATACTTTAGTTCCACGTACGCCTTATGTGACATTATTGACAGAACTGTGGATGAAATGTGAAAACAACTAACGGTATGGATGAAATTGGCTATATTTTTTTTGTTCAGAGACTAAATTGGTTGATTTTTTAGTTTAGGGGGTTAATTTCTACAATGGTCATAATTCAAGGGGTAAAACAGCTTAAAATCCTAAAAATAAAAAATAAAAAAAATATTTTCCCTGATTTTTGTTTATCGATAAGAGTAGTTTAGAATATTATCCATTACTATTAAGCCATTACTCGAATCTCTATTGTCCCTCTTTGATCTTTTTAATTTTCTAGAGTTATTACCTGTATAAAAAATTTAGGATTTTCCTGTTTCATGCTCGTATTATACACGTACGTATGTATTTTTTCATAATACTTCCGTTTCCCTTACATGCCTTAAAGACTCTGTAAAATGCACATTTTTTTAAAGAGCAAACATACAATACACTGCGTTTGTATTTTTCATGTTTAATACACATGTTTTTTTACAAAATTTTCATAAATACAAACAAAGTTCACATATTATAACATAATTTTCACACATTATTGAAAAAATATATATATTTAAATATTATATAGCGACTGAACTTTTCATTTGTAACTTGCCAAAATTTTGCGAAATAAAACATGTCCGTATTTTATTCGTATTTTTACTGTTCCATATTTTACTAACTATGAAAGAATATGAGAGGTTAAGATCATTTCTTACTTGAGGGAGACAAGGAAATAGTGGGTTTGAGGTTCTAGGCCAATGCCATGGAAGAAGAAAGATGCAATATATACTGTGAGGTTTTGTTATTTAATTTTTTATAATAAAAAAATAGTATAGCGGCGCAGCTATACTTGGTAGCCTATACTCTTTAGGCAATCTATATAGTGAGGTTTTTTAATTTAAATTTTTTAAAAAGAAACTAGTATAGCCAAGCGGCTACACTTGGGTCCTTTTCTAATTTTTGTAAATAAATAGTATAGCGTGCAGGTATACTTGGGCCCTTTTGAATTTTTTAAATAAATAGTACAACCGCGCGGCTATATGTTTCAAATATAATATATTTAAAGATTATCGTCGTGGCTATACTGGGGCCCTTTTGATTTTTTTATAAATAAATAGTATAGCCTCGTGGCCTTAGTTTTCAAATATAATATATTTAAAGAGTATATATATATATATATATATATATATCTCTCGAAACTAGCAAATAAAAGGGTCCTTTTTTTAATAATTAATCTATATATATAAAGCAAAATGCAGATAATGGTGAAACATTCAAAATAACAAAAAATGTCATTGGTTAATCCAAACATTAATAATTAAAATTATTCCAGGTATGGAAACTCATCTATTTCTCGAGCCCTAGCTGCTGGTTGGGTAGGATTTCAGAAATTTCTAGCGTAGATAACTCGATCTTGGATCCAAAGTTTAGCCGAATTTCGGGTTGAGATTCCGGCCACTTCCGGCCAGTTTTTAGGGTAGGTCCAAGAACAAAAGTGGCTCCAAATAGGTGTTTTACCTAGGATAGGACTCTTGAGCCGAGATGTTGAGATTTTTCCGGCGAAGCATTATCGCTTTAGGCACCACGCGCTGCCGGTGCGTGGGCGGCACGAGAGCAGTAGGGTGGAGACCACAGTCAGTCCTAGAATGATCTCCTAGTCCTCACGAGCGCGTGGGATTTTGCGGATCTTAATTCGGATATCGTTTGAACCCCGAACGGATCTCGCCTACTGTGCGATTTCCGGGTTCAATACGTTTGAACCGTTGGATCGTAGTTAATTCCAAGTATGTTAATCTAGACTTTCCCAGGATCGTATGGTATTTGACAGATCGTAAAACGGAGTCCCGGATACTCCAGAAATGTCAGCCCTAGAGTGAGGTTTACAATAAAACAAACCAGTTACAGGTCCGGAGCAGAGGAAAGAACTATGTGTGGCTTGATCCCTCAGAAAGGGTACGTAGGCAGCCTACAGTTATCAAGTGCAGCCACGAATCAGAGTCCCTCAGTTGTGTTACTGTTTTCAAGACATTTTAGTCATTTACGACCCACGTTTACCAGGTGTCAGTTTTAAACAGGTTTCGACCCGGATTCCAAAGTGGAAATTGGATCAGGTCGTTTCAATATTCGCGTGGCTATACGCCTTTTTAATATAATATGCTTAACGAGTATAGCCGCGCGGCTGTACTAGAGTTTCTTTATTAAAGAAAAATTATAGCCCCTTGGCTATACGTTTTTGACACGTGGCTCCGAATCGCTAGTTGGGCGCTAGGCGGGTCCTTTTTTTTTAAAAAAAAAATACAAATATTATAGACATGGGGTTATATTTGGGTTTTTTTTATAAAAAAAAAAAAAAAAAGAAAAGAGTATAGCCACTTGGGTGTACTGGGGTCCTTTTAATGTTTTTTTTTATAACTAGTATAGCCGCGTGGCTATATGCTTTACATTAGATAGTGTGATCCTTTTTTAAAAAAAATTGCTCAATATTTGTTTATCAATAGTTTAGAGCATTATCCATTACTTTTGAGTTTTTACTTTTCCAGAGTTATTACTCATATAAAGAATTTAGCATTTTCACATTTAATACTTGTATCGTACACATACATACGTATTTTTCATGTTTAATACACTTGACTTTTTTTTAAAAATAAATCTATAAAGTATAAATATCAAAACTAGCAAATTAATATCTATAAAGTATAACCTAATGCAAATAGAAGGTTCCTTTTTTGTATATATTTTTTTAATAAATAGTAGAGCCACGCGACTATACTCTTTGAGCATATATATATATATAGTTATTCTCTCATCCATATGTTCGTTCGTTATTATCATGCATGTCATTGTAACTAGGGAGGAAAGCAGGGTGGTAGAAAATACATGTCCTTCGCACAATAATAATGTCCGAACGTTTGCATAGAAGAATTTATATATATATATATATAAATTCTATATATATAGAGAGCTTCAGTTGAGGGATCCCTCAAATAACTTATTTGAAGGACACTCTTATTGGGCCCACTCCGTATTGTATTTCACTAATCCAAACCATTGATTTTGTAAATATTCATTCAAAGATCATCTCTACACAAAATCACTTGAATCCAATATCATTTGACCATTCAATTGAATTATTGAAATTTTAGTACTTTCTTGAAATACTATATTCATTGATTTTGTAGAACACAATTAGATGTCGAAACGGTTTCCGATTCGTCTATTTTTTTGGTCCTTGATGTAACTGACTTGATCTAGGACAACTTAGACGGTATATAGGGGTTTTTAGACAAGTTCTTTTCAATTTATTCTCTCAAGATAGAGCTGACTCTTGTCACTGGGAAGCTATGGCTCTCTATGTACTTTTTCAATTTATCTAATAAAATACTATGGTTTGTTTGGTAAAATAAAAATAATGATTACAATTTTATCTTTTTTGTAAAATTGAATGAAATGAAATGAACCCTTACAATGCTACCCAAAAATATGGACACTTCAATTGAAAAAGTGACATGGTTTTCGTTATAAATTTTGGTGTACTCAACTATTTAAATATGAAATTTTTTATACCCAAATGATGAAAAATGCATAAATAAGAAGGGGCAAAAAAGTGTACAACGCATGTTAACCATTTTCAACTGGTCTAACTACATAGAAATCAAGAACTCTTTAGCCTCTTATAGGCGTCCGCGCAAACCGCAATGTTGGCCATGTTACAACACACAGATGCCACCAATGAGCTCCATACAGAATATTCCGGTAGCATAGCCCGACTCGTCATCTCCTCCAACCACATAACAGCTTCATATTGCTTGCCCACTGAGCAAAGGCCAGTAATAACTCTATTGTAAGTCTCAGCACAAGGCCAATGTGACTTGATCAACATCTCCTGCAATACTCTGCTTGCTTCAAGAAATCTACTCTCCCCACAAAGCCCATTGACCAAAATGCCATAGGTTTTCTTGTCTGCAACACAACCCACCTGCTTTTCCATCTTCTTCAGATACAAAATGGCCAAAACAGACTGCCCTTCGCTACAAAGGCCTCTTACCACAACACTATACACTCTTACAGTTGGAACACAGTTTGCCTCCACCATCTCCTTTTCAATCACCTCCACTGCTTCAACAACTTTCCTTTCCCTACACAATGCGGCTGCCTTTGCTTCAAAGACCAAAGCTGTTGGCCTAAAGCCTCTGTCTTGCATTTCTTTCAGTACTTTGTCAGCCTCACCAATCTTATTTTCATTGTAGAGATCGATTGCCATAGCACTGTAACTAGCCAAACTGGGTATCCCACCTCTGACCAGAGCTTCATTGATCAAACGCTTAATGCCTTCTGTGTCTTCACCATTACCATAATGGCTGAGATCAAGATTGTGGCGAAACCGCTTAGGGGCCTTGAGCCCCTTCCTTAATATCTTACCAAGAATCTCCACAGCATCTTCAACCTGCCCATTATCACACAAGGCATCTAACAAGGTTCTGTAAATCACAACATCTTCACCACAACCCTTCTGAGAAATCCTCCAAAACATTGAATACAACAAATGGGTTGCCTCGTTCAGCCTCTTATCTTCGCACAACCCTCTCATTAGTATCCGGTAACTTTCCCTATCCGGATTGCAACTTTGATAATCCATCTCTTGGAAAACTTGCAGTGCAATATCTGAACGACCCTTTTGGCACAAAGCAAGCATAAGCAAATTCAAGGACCGAACCCGCGAGCTCACTTCCCATCCACAACAATGCTCCATGAAAATACGATGAGCTGCTTCAAGCTTGGACTCTTTCACCATAATCTCCAAAAGGGTATTGAAAGACTGCGTCCAATTCACACAGTTGAACTGTGAAATGTTCTTGAAAAGGGACATTGCCTCGTCCAGCAACCCAGCTCTTGCATAGGTCTTAATTACAGAAACAAAAACTGAATCTTTGCATTCACAGGAGTCGTTTTTCATCTCATTAATTACTTCCTTCATCTCATTGATTCGGCCTGAGTTTCCGAGTATGCTGATCATGTTGGCATAAACTGGACCGTTGTGACGGTAATTGGGGTATTTGCATTTAGCTTCACTGAAAATTTGGAGAGCTGTTAATGGGTTTTTCTGCTTTCGTATAATCTGAGAGAGGTGCGTAGGTGTTAGAAGCCTCGGCCATCTTATACTCATGGTGATCCAATATTGACCACTGTCACTCTGTGATCTTGCACTACGCCAGAAGCCTGCATTCTCTGAGCGTCAAAGAGATGAAGCGCAACAATGAAGGATTCCTATTAAGAGGCATGAAGCTAGCAGCAGGATGATCTGGCCCTTTTGCTACAGTTGCAGGCCCTGCATCAACCTGCTTAGTTGTTGAAGATGAGGATTGGCAGCAAGCTAATTTGGGAGCTCTTTTGGCATCTTATTGAACAAAAAAACGGTTAGCTGTTCTCTGCCACACAGCCCTTGCTTCTGCTCAACTTCCTATTCTTTTGCACATTTTACTCTGCAAAAGGAGAATATGCTACTCTTTTAACACCCAAAACCCATTAGAGAAGGAAACATGCGAAAATGCAAAACAATTATTCTGCAGAAGAATCCAAGATAGATTTCAAACCATAGTTGCCTAATTCGCTCACCCCCTACGAATTTCGATCACGATTGAGCGTACCCAATCGCGGTACGGTATCGATCTGGAACGAAAGATTTAATGACTCAGTTCCAGAGGCGAGAACAGTACCTGATAGACGACGTCGCTGCTACAGAACAGTAACTGACCGCCGACAGCAGACGAGCAATCGAGGGCACATGAGGGACTAGGAAGAGTGCTATAGCTGATGCGCCCGCGTTTGATTCTTGGTCTCTTGGCATAAGGGGAAGGAAGATTTTGGGTTCGGAGAGGATATTTTTGGACGACTGGATTCCAAGAGTGTCTTTTGGTTGGATTGATTTTTTCTTTTTTAAAGTTTCTGTTTTTGTTTAAGTTAAATAAAATACTAGTTTAACTCAGTTTTTTTCTCAGTAAAAATAATAAAACAAAGACATACTGATATTTAAATCAATTTTTTTCTCAATCCTTAGAGAACGAGACTGTTCTTGGAATTTCTAAGAAAGAAGGAAAGCCACAGTTCTTTTAATACATTGAACAAATAAAATACATAACTTATTGAATAAATACAAAACCACTTATTCATAAAATAAATAAATCCATAATTAAAATTTACACCCAGAAAAACAAATATTAAAGTTTATTGTTGAACTTGAAACTTCAAAACAAACAAAACGGAAATTGAAAATACTTAAAATTAAAAATAGCCACAGGTAGCCCGGGGTTTCACCTAGGTGCAGACGCGAATTAAACTATTACTTCCATTGAGTTGGTTTTGAATATGTCGGTGGGTTGGAAACCAATTGAGGTGAGATTAAATGTTGGTTTATATTTCAGTTTTACTGAATGGTTGTGGTTAAAAGGTGTTTGTAGTTATGATGTTTCTGAAACCCATTTGGATCGATGAATGATTTTGGCCTATTCTGCAAACTGGGTACTCTTACCTTGTGCGTGCTGCCGATTGGAATTTTATTATTATGTGTTTTGACAAGTTGAAAATTTGGGAAAAGTCTGTTTTTCAAGGAAGACTCTACTAAAATTTTGGCAGAGATTCTCGACCCTCTTTTTCTTTATTTTTGGAGAAGAAGATGTTGTTAGTAAGTGGGCCCGGCATCGGGTGGATGTCGGAAAAACCACAGGGTTTGTCTCAAATTCCGAGGAATTCGGGGCGGGTCCTATCAAGGGGACTATATGCTAATGACATATCATTCAATGTACTAAGTAACCCTCAATTCCATGAGATGGTTACATCCATTAACAACAGTCCCAAGGGATATAAGGCTCCTTCATATGAAAAAGCTAGAACTGCATTGTTGGATGCAACAAAAAAAATAGTGTTGAAAGAGAATTAGCTCCAATAAAAGATATATGGTATAGTTATGGAGTGTCCATTGTATTATACAGGTAGACAAATGTAAAGCATAAGCCATTGATCAATGTTATTGATGCCAATAACATAGGTGTTATGTTCTTGTGTGTACATGATATGTTGGGGATTGAAAAGACTGGTAAAGAAATTGCAAGCCTCTTGCTTGAAGCAATTGAAGAGGTGAGGCCATATAAAGTTCTCCAAGTAGTAATTGACAATGCAAGTAATTGTGTCACAGCTAGGAGAGAGATTGAAAAGGTGCATGAGCAAATTTTTTTGTCTCCATGTGTTCATACCTTAAATCTCATTTTTAAAGATCTTGCACAAAAATTTGAGTGGCTTACAAATATTTATAAATATGAAAAGTAAATTGTCAAATTTTTTTATAAACCACACACATGCTTTGGCAATTTTTAAGAGAGTCGCATTTGGAGTTTCTGAAAGTAGCTAAAATAAGATTTGCGTCACATTATATCTTGTTAAAGGGGCAAGTTAGTTATAGAGAAGCACGACAAACTACTGTTATTCAAAGAACATGGAAAGATTTGTTGAAAAATTTAGATTAAGGCAAAAGAAATTTAGCTACTGTGGTTCAAAATACCGTGCAAGATGATAATTTTTGGGAACATGTTGAGGCAATATTAGAGTTCACAAAGCCAATTTATCAGGTGGTAAATAAAAGATATGTGAAATTTATGAAAGGATGGATAATATGCTTGGCGAAATAAAAGATATTATGGCAAGTGAAATATATGTCGAACATTTTCCTGTGGCTATTTTTAATTTTAAGTATTTCAATTTCTGTTTTGTTTGTTTTGAAGTTTCAAGTTCAACAATAAAATTTAATATTTGTTTATGTGTGTAAATTTTAATTATGAACTTATTTATTTTATGAATAAGTGGTTTTTTATTTATTCAATAAGTTATGTATTTTATTTATTCAATGTAATGAAAGAATCGTGACTTTCCTTCTTCCTTAGCAATTCTTGAATAGTCCTGTTCTCCTGGACCCTAGGCGTCCAAGGAAGTTTCGATCACTCACCCTTGGATCTAATCTAAGAGTTGAGAAAAAAACTTATTTAAATATTAATATGTCATTATTTTATTACTTTTAATGTACAAAATATTAATTTAACTTAAACAAAAACAAAAACTTTAAAAAAGAAAAAATCACTACAACCAAAAGAAACTCTCTCTCAGAAAACCAAGAACATGTTCTTCATCCATTGTCATTCACAACTACCTTCAACTTCGGTGTTGCATACTAAAATCAAGAACACATGTCGTTTAAGATTCACTCTAATTCTTATTGGTTATCTATTTCATCTCTTCATTTAGATTCAAATATTCAATTTTTTCATAAACAAAAGAAAATTTATTGATCCAAATTCGGAGCCATCAAGCCATCCATTTACACTTTAACGTGATTGAATTTAAAGGACCTACAACCAAGTCATTTTCCTATTGTTCTCTACCTTAGTGATCAATTTTATGTTTATAAATTTTAGATTTGAATGATTCATGACCAAGTTTGGGAAAACTACAAATTTTTATAAACAAATTTTGGGCTTTTTTGTTTGTTTGTTTGTTTGTTTTTTTTCATGAACCCAGACTTGTGTTTCTGCAACTATATTGTATTTTCATCTTTGATATTAAACTTATTTAAAAAATAGTTTTAGTAACCAAAATAGTATTTCAGTGCAGTAAAAGTAAAATAAAAGATGACATATTGATATTTAAACCAGTTTTTCTCAACTCTTAGATTCGATCCAAAGGTAGGTAACCACAACTTTCTTGGATCATAGGGTCCATGAGAACATAACTGAATTTTTGAAACCAAAAACATTACTTTTATTATATTGACACACCTACCCCACCTCAACCTTTAGTACGTTCCCCTTAAAGCACTTCCACCCATTTGTCAGAGCATGTGTAGCACTAGGCCATTGCCATGGCAACAGGTCCCCTTAGGCCCCAATTCCTCCTCCAGCACAGAAAGGCCAGCCCGGGCAAGCCATGGACCCCACCAGCCTGAGCAAGCCCATAGGAAAAAATGGACTGGGTTGTTGCCCTCAAGCTGTTGACTTTAGCGGCCTAAAAAAAATTGAAAAAAATATCCAAATTTTTTAAAAAAAAATCAAAAAATTGTGGAAATTTTTTTCTATAAATACCTATCAATATTATTCACTTTCCACACCAAATCTTCATACAAATTCATCTCCTTCCAATAATTTTCACTTTTCATACCAAATTTTCTACTACAAAATTCCATTTGAAAATTTTAATTTAATAAATACGGACACGTGGCAACAGAAAATTTTATTCAAAAATTTTATCCGAAAATGTTATTTGAAATTTTAGGTGAGAATTTTATAATCAATAGTGACACGTGGCAACATAAAATATTATCTAAAAAGCTATCAAAATTAATAGTTAAGTATAAAAAATGCAAGGTTGACACTATTCACTTGAATAGTGTCAAACCTTGCCTTGCCTTTGCCTTGCCCTTGCCTTTTGGGGTGGAGATGCTCTCATGGCAAAGGGTAAGGGAAAGTAAGGGCGGTTACTGTTCACATGAATAATATCTGCTTTAGCAATTGTTTTTGTACTTTTCCACCAATTATCATGGCAACTCAAAAGAAATTACTATTCACATGAAATTGTATATGAGATTAATAAATAAAAATTTACTAGGTATGTATTTTTTTTAAATATGAATTTTTTGGTAAATTTTAAGATTATTTATTTATTTATTTTCTTTGTTGACATCAGCGCTTTCAGATAACAGCTTGGGCTATCTTGCCTTGGGCCTTGCCAGCTCTTGCCCGGCCTGGATGTCACTGCTGCAGCTGGTTTTGGGAGACCAAGGGGGCTTTTGCCTGGGCTGGGCTCTTGGAATCCATCCGTCTAAAAAAATCCTCTCCGAACCCAATATCTTCCTTCCCCTTATGCCAAGAGACCAAGAATCAAACGTGGGCTCATCAGCTATAGCACTCTCCCTAGTCCCTCATGTGCCCTCGATTGCTCGTCTTCTGTCGGCGGTCAGTTACTGTTCTGTACAGCGACGTCGTCTATCAGGTACTGTTCTCGCCTCTGGAACTGAGTCGTTAAATCTTTCGTTCCAGATCGATACCGTACCGCGATTGGGTACGCTCGATCCATATCGAAATTCGTAGGGGGGTGAGCGAATTAGGCAACTATGTTCAGGAACCAACACTTTTGAATAAAATATTTGTTGTGCCTGCATATGCATGATGTATTGTGACCGTGGTGATTATTTACATTTGTCCTAAAGAGAAGAGTAGATATGTATTTTAGGAAAGAAGTAGAAATGTTTATAACTTTTCTGAACCTGGGTTCAGTCTGAGATGCTTTCTTTGTTTTCTTTTGACAATATGTGAAGTATGATATCAGCTTGCCAGTGATTGAGGTGGGTGCTTGGGTGGGTTTGGTTTGTTTATAATGCGTGGCGTGTATTTTGTTGAATTGAATTGAATTTGGAGCAGTTATTGTGGTGTCTGATGAGCTAGACGCTGTCTGGTTTTCTCACAATGTGTTACATGCACATTAATGTGGACTGGGTTTATTTGTGACGAATCATGAATCTAATTACTATTTTGTTTTTTGAATTAATGGACTTTTAACTTTTGTTTGCTTGGATATCCAGGGTGTTGACATCAGTTAGGCATTGCAAAATGGAAATTCCAAATTGTGTACAGAGTTTCACTTATTACTAAGTGCAACCAAGGAGAGAATGCTCCTTTTGACAAGATTAAAGAGATCCAATCAACTTACTCAAATTCCTCCGAAGCTAAATTTTTCTGTCATTCACGCTGTTAAAATATCCAGCCAATTTCTACCGTCTTCAGAAACTAATATTGAAGTTGACAGGATCACCAGAATAATTAATAACCATCCGTATCCTGATCAACCACTTCTACCAACTCTTCTCCAGCACATCCCACCCCATGCTCTTTCCACCAGCTTTGTGGAGAATGTTTTGGGTTACCTTTTCGCAGCCCATTCCAATGGTCTTAAAGCCCTTGAATTCTTCAATTATTCCCTCCATCATTCCCAGTTATGTCCAAGCTCAGATGCTTTTGAAAAGACACTGCATATCCTTGCCAGGATGCGGTATTTTGATAAAGCTTGGGACTTGATGGAAAAAATAAGCAGCATGCACCCTTCCTTGCTGACCCTTAAGTCAATGAGCATCATGCTGTCAAAAATTGCAAAATTTCAGTCATATGAAGATGTCCTTGAAGCATTTGGCAAGATGGAGAATGATATTTTTGTTGGGAGGAAGTTTGGTACTGAAGAGTTTAATGTACTCCTTAGAGCATTTTGCACAGAGAGGCAGATGAAGGAGGCACGTTCGGTGTTCCTAAAGATGCATTTTCGGTTTTCACCCAACACCAAGACCATGAATATCTTGCTCTTGGGATTCAAGGAATCTGGAGATATTACTGCAGTAGAACTCTTTTACCATGAACTGGTTAAAAGAGGCTTTGAGCCAAATATTATAACTTACAATATTAGAATCGATGCTTACTGTAAGAAAGGTTGCTTTGCTGATGGTTTGAGACTTTTTGAAGGAATGGAACGGGAAAATTTGTCTCCCACTTTGGAAACAATCACTACATTGATCCACGGAGCAGGGGTTGCTCGAAATCCAATTAAGGCACAACAATTATTTGATGAGATTCATTTGAGAAATTTGCTTCCTGATACTGGGGTGTATAATGCTTTGATGAGCTCACTTATTAGATCAAGGGATGTGAAATCGGCAGTCGCATTGATGGATGAGATGGAAGCGAAGCATATTGAACATGATAATATGACTTATCACACCATGTTTTCTTGCTTGATGAGGACATCTGATATTGACGGTGTTTCTAGACTATATCACAAAATGGTTGACAGAAGTTTTGTGCCCAAAACACGAACAGTGGTGATGTTAATGAAATATTTCTGTGTAAACCAGCAGCTTGATTTGGGATTGCATTTATGGCGATACCTGGTGGAGAAAGGATGTTGTCCTCATGGTCATGCTTTGGACCTTCTGTTAACTGGATTGTGCTCCCGCAGTAGGGTAATAGAAGCTTTTGAGTGCTCCAAACAAATGTTGGAGAGAGGGAGAGATATGAGTGAACCTGCGTTGCGGATATTAGAGAGCTTTCTGGTTCAGGCAGGTGAGATGGACAAGCTGAGGAAGCTCAAGCAGATGATACAGAGATTGCATACTCTGTTGCCCCCATTAAGAGGGCACACTTTTGCTGATCCTGCATCCAAAAATACAGAGGTACACAAACCAGGTCCACAAGGCAAAGTGTCAAGAAATGCCTTACTCAAACTACATAAACCATGCAACTCACCCCCCACAACATTCATATCCAAAAGAGATCAATAGAATTTAAAAGAGAGATGGAAATGCTTAATCTTAGTTTCATGGTTTTGGCCATCTTTGCTGTCATAGAAGTTCTGTTCTCTGGTGAAATCAATGTGGTTGTTGGGCATGGTTGCCAATTAGGTGACTTCTAGGGTCTTATAATGTAATGTTCAGTTATGTGTGAAGGGGTTTCTCCATGACATCCATCTCAAGAATGCTGTGATGTGATGATTAAGAAGGTGGGCATCCCATGTACGTGCGAGCACAAGGAGGTGCAGCAGCCGATTGACATGAGAAAGGTGGTTCATGTTGTTTCCTACTGCAGTAGACCTCTTCCTCATGGAACGAAATGTGTAAGTAAGATCCCCAACTGAGCTCTCTCTCAGAATATGTTTACTCAATTTGAGAATGTGTTTGATTTTGCTATACGAGAGTTTGATTACCTAATTCTTTGCCAAAAAATATATATTTTTTTATTCCTAACACTTTTTTCTTTGTGAGAAGTATAATCCTCCGTGTATATTTTGCATGCATATCCAGAGAGGTTCTTTTTTCATGATTGGAACTTATAACTCATACCATTTGGGCTTAATTTTATCCTAGTTCTGTCTAGGGAGAAAATATAAAGTTCTGTATATCTTATATCCAAAAAGGTTATTTTCTTTTCATGATTAGAACTCGTAGGTCATATATCAATCGAGCTTACGTTTATGCTAATTTTATTAATTCTGAAGGAACTTGAACTTTGTGCTGGGTTCTTATCACACCAAAAAACAAAAAACAAAAAAAGGGTTTGTACTTCTTTCTACAAACAATAGTGTTTTACACAGCCACTGTAGCATAATCTAGAACATGCACAAGTAACATATGGTGGAGGGAGCTAAGGCCCAGCGTGGGCATGTGCCCCCTCAAATTTTCTTTGAGGCAATGGTCTTATTAATACAATCATATTTTTTAATTAAATTTTAAAGTGCCCATTCCTTATGTTTTTCTTCTTTTCCTTTCTCACTATCATTGCTAGCCCTTTCAAAATTCTCATTGTTGTACTTTGACTCTAGATTTTGTAGTGATAAATTATTGTCCCAATTTTATTGGTGTCTATCTTTAGTAAAGAACATTTCAATTGATTTTTTGTTAATATCGATGATGAGTAGATAGTTAATGTAACATATAAAATAATAAAGTATAGAAATTAAAATTAGGGATTTTGTATAAAGTAAAAAATTATTTGGTTGTCACCCTAAATAAAAATATATTTCAATACATGCAGTGCCTCCTCTGTGAAAAGTTTTCTGGCTCCGTCCTTATTGTGCTTTAATATTTTTAGCTTAAAGATGGTTTTTTCTTTCTTTTGACTTTCAACTCTTTTGACTCACCTTCATGGTGTTCGCGTCTTTCATATTCAGCGTAGAACTAATGGGGCTGCCCATTGTCTAGCTCGGTTTGCTTTGTATTGACTCCAGATTTTATTCTGGATGTCGTCTTTGAAGATTGTAATTCTCCTTGCTCATTGTGTTATAGATAGTATCACTGATGATAAATATGTTTTTCGGCCGAGTTTGGTCTATTTTAGATAATTGTTCTAATAAGTTTAACCATCTACTGCAGAATTTACAGTTCCAGGAAGTAGTTAAGGCAATCTTGCTTTTAGTTGTAAACAAACCAGTAGCATTCGGATGGACGAATTACACTTCCAGTATCGTGTAAGTTTAGAAATATGACTTCAAACAATTAATATGTATTTGATCTTGGTATAATGAACTCATTTGCATATTGATCAAACCTATGTTATTTACTGCTTACACCAAAAAAGTATTCCAATTTATATAGCAGAGCAGATGTCGTTCAATATTGGTATGCAGAATATTGTTCAAACAGCAGCCTGAACCCAAGTCTTCTTATTCCTCCTCCACAATGAATATCCTTGTTTCAACACCATTAAAATGATATTTAACTGCATTTTGTGGCGGATTCATTCTGTACACAATTCTAGAATATTACAGAAGAAAGTTTGATACAGTATATTCATGGTAAATGGTTGTGGATCAACCATTTACAGATATATAAAGGAACTACATGGAGGGCAAAGAGCAATGAAAAGGGTGGATGTAAGGTGGTTGGAGGGATGGGGGAGAAATAAAGGAGAATAAAGGAAATAAAAACTTGAAAATGAAAATGACATAAAATTGTTTGTAGTTTTTTATTTTTGCATTTCATGTTGCATTCTATACACATTTTTCCGTCACCCTTCTTTATGCTTCCGTTTCTCCCATATATTTTCTCTATATCTCTACCGAAAAATGAAAACTGAAAACTCCACATGAAAATTTATTTATCACTTTTATTTTATAGTTACATGTGGCTAATTATAATATTTGTTAATGGTTCTAGGCCCCACACAATTCAACTTACCCCACTAAATGACCTAAAAAGGCATTCACCAATTTGTTCAACCGGGGGTCATATGCATATAGATATGTGAAGTCATAGGTTTGATTCTCCATTCTAATATGTGAAGTCCTAGGTTCGATTCTCCATTCTAATATCGTTCGTTTGTATTAAAACAAAAAGGGTCATATGCATATAGGCATAGTACACAATTTGGTTGAACAGGGAAGAAGGAAAAATTGTTGGGTTGGAATCTAGATGGTATGCGTTCATTTTCTTCATATATTTGTCTTCTCTTGCCGGATGAACAAAAATACGTCCAATAAATTTACATTCCCATTAACGTATTGCAATCAATTAAACCAATCCCATTTCCACAAAATTTCAGACGAGTAGAAATTGTGGCTGTTTGGGAACCAGTTTCATTTGTTGAGTTCATCTATTGACTTTCAAGACTGCATGACTTGCATCAGTGAACAATTTTATTTGTTGGCCAAAAGAGAAACGACTTGTGTTGCTCATAGACTTGCTGCCATGTGCATGGGGATTGGCTTTTGGCTGTCAAGCTTTTGAGATCCCTCCTGTTTAATTTTTGTGTGTATTCCAAGGGAAACACACTGCCTTGGTGAACTTATCTAACCCGCATCTTCAAAACTCTATAAATTCAACCCATACCACTCACATCGTCTCCCAACACATTGTAAAGAGAGAGACGCAGGCAATTAAATGAAAGATATGACAACATACAACGTGACCGCCATGGTTTCAACTATCTTTGCAGTCATTGGACTTCTGTGTTCCATGAGCAATAACTTGATGGAGCTGCAGGGCTGCCAAGGAGACATGATGGGTTTGGTCACAAACTGCATGATGTACGTCCAGAAGGTCTTGCCATTGCCAAACATGAATGCATCCGAGGCATGTTGCAATGCTTTGAACACAGCTGACATTCCATGTCTGTGCCATGGCATTTCTGGTCAGCTTGAGCAGACGATCATCGACACGGCCAAGATTGTTTCTGTTGCAGAGTCCTGCGGCAAGCCTCTTGCACATGGGACACAATGTGGGAGTAAGAAAACCCTACTAAAACCTCTGCACAATATACGATACTCTCTCTCTCATTTCTCTGTCTCTTCAGAGACTTTACATTAACAATTTGAATTTCTTATTGAAATATGCAATTTATAGAAAACAAACTTAAGCTCATATATTTGGCAAATACATATTTATAATATAATTAGATTTGTTGAGGCAAACACTTTGTAGTTACAAGGTGTCAAATGGCGCTAGGCCATATGGACTTGTCCATTTATAAAAATCATCAAGTTCGGCCCTAACTCATATAGGGTTGGGCTGGGCCATTAAATAGGCCAATATGGGCCACACCAAGTTTGTTTTATGTATTCCATTTTTTACAACTTCATTTCAATATTTTTTTTACAATTATTTATAAAGCGGCTAATAACTTTATTTGAAGTATATTAAAAATGAAAATGGATAGATTATTGATCGGGTTTTAAAAATTGAAACTTTAAAAATAAAATCATTATTTTATCTATAAAGAAAACATTAAATTTTAGTATATATTATTAGAGAAAAGACATAAGACTTTTATTTAAGATATAAGTATAATAATATTATATATTATTTTTCTTTGAAACAAATATAATTTATTAAATGAGCTTTAAATGTTCCGGCCCATTGGGATTTAGGCTGGCATGGTCCATAACAAGCCTCGAGTTGGCCCGATTATTGGACTAAATTACCTTGTTCCAGCCCGCTTAAAGATACAAGTCATGCCATGGCAGGCCTTACTTAATCAAACCTTTTAACACCTACATGTAATGAAAATGGTTAATAAAACAACAATAGTAAGGGTATTTTAAATTATTTGTTTACTAGCCTCTTGGCACATGTGCCTTTAACACCTACATGTAATGACAAGGGTATAGGTAAAGGGTACTTTGACTCTAGATTTTGTAGTGATAACTAAGAGCATATGCAGAGGGTATAGGCAAAAGAGTAGACAAATCATGTTGATGTGCCACATAAGCTTTTTCGTCCTGCAAGAGAATAGGCAAAGGAATAGCCTCTTGGTACGTGAGTTGTGTTTTGGTATGTGTGGTAACTGTTTGTTTGGTGGAAATGATATTTTGATCTTCCTCTAAGAAAAAAAAAGGATTAGTAGTTGGGAGTTGAAGCAATATCTCATGAATTATCACAATACCCAGCTACTTCATCCCAGCATGTGGTTCAACCAGAAATTACAAAGAAAAAACGTGGTAAGCAGTTTTTATCCAAGAGGCAACTGAATATATGCAACATCAGTTTGTACTATATAGTACAATTTTGCCTACATCAGTCTGTACTATATAAAACAACTGAATATATGCAACATCAGTCTGTACTATATAGTACAAGTTTTTATCCAAGATGCACTTTTTGGTATTGTGAAAGATTCACAGTGCCTTTATCTCACTTTACCGTTTATGAATCTATTGCAGATTTCATAGTGCCATGAAGTCGTTGAGGTGGCCAATGTATCAAATCAAGAGTTCAATTCTCGGGTTTACCAAATGGAGCGGAGTATTCATATCTGGGGAATCACTGTCACATGCTATGAAGGGTCGCCCTCAAGATCATCAAAAAATAATTATACTTTATTAGCATACGTTATCATGTGAATTTGATTCCAAATCTTCAATTTATTACGCAAGAAGAACACGACTATTTATAATGTATTGTGGTTACAGTTGTTAATTTGTTATGTTTTAATTGATTCTATTAAAAAAACTTGGGCTAACGCGGATGTAGGTTTGGCTAGTTGACTAGGGTGATGCTAGTAAGTCTCTTGGTTGGACTGCTCATCCATAGTCACAAGGTAATGTGTTGCTATCATGTGGTCTAGTCAAACAATCCCCCGATTGGATTGTTTTCCCAATACTTAATGATGGTGTGGTCAATGCGTGTGTGTGTATATGTATATGTATACGGGTATATATGTGGATTTACTTTCCAAGTTGAGGTCTCTTGAGCATGTGTATTGAGAGTACTCTGCATATGTATGAACATTTGAAATGAAGTTCGGGATTGAGATTAGATATTTGAAAATTACTGGGAATGTTATATTTTTCCAAGGGTATAGTTATGGGAAAAATGATTTTGGGTTTTGATGATTAAATTTTATATTAACGGGTTTACTTTGGTGTTTGAATATACGGTTTTACAATAAGGATTACATGAACAAATTTACATTGTTTTCCAAGAATTTGATAAGTATTAGTTACATAGTTTTCCTTATCTTATGTTATGATATGAATTTTACATTGAAATATTTATGATTATCGGTTGGTATATATGTATGTAAACAAACGATTTTATTGCATGCCATTATTTTCTAAAACAGAGGGGGTTATTTATGTTGAAATTTCGATTATTTGTTTACGATTATCGGTTGGTATTATCGTTTGCAGGTACTATAGATTGGAAATTATTCAATTTACAAGAGAGACTCTGCCGAAATTTCGGCAAAAGTCAAAGTCTTTATTAGTTTAAAGTAAGGCTAAAGAACGTTTTAGGAAAGTGGGTCCGGCATCGATTAGATGCTGGACGGGAAGCAAGGTTTGTTACAGATTTCGAGGAGTAATCCGAGGCAGGTCCTATCACTCTTCTTCACTGGTTTCCTCTTCATTTCCCTCTTTATTGATGACATTCCTAGTTAGCTCTACAGTTCCTATAGTTCCTATATTAGGCACTTGTTCTACATATTCTTGGTTCAATTGTGACTGACAATTAAAAACCTCATTAAAAAAGGCATCTAAAACGTCATCCAATGCTGCATTATAAAGCAACTGGGGTGGCCCAATATCTGGAAAATTTTGGCATAACCAAATAAGAACAAAAATGGAAAGCATGCATATTGAATACTTTATGCAAATGAATAGGGACACTATGCTTTAGCCTTTAGTAGTGAAAACATGCACGGGACCACTGCTTTTACTTCATATTCCAACAAAAAAAAGCCTTAAATTTCCCACCAACTATCCCACTAAGCTAAGAGATAAACTCAATCCAATATAAAAGGCTACAAATCATGTAATTCTCCAGAAATAACACATGCAGACAATCGAAAAAAAGAAGAAGCATAGAAAGCAACAAACACTTTAACCATTGAAAGCCCCTATATCAAATCGAAACTAAGTTAAATAATCAAGCTCTTTCAAACCTGGTTTGTTCAAGCTTCCACTGCCTTCTCCTATGCTCTTCGTCATTTTGGTTGTGTAACCTTCAATCGATTAACTTTTACGCACATATGAGAAATTTTCAATTAAACCCTAAAAAACCCAAAAGAAATCCTTAATTTGTGTTTGAGGATTTGAGCCTTTGTGTTCTCTTTCTCTGGCGTAAGAACAATGAATATGCTGGGTTATTTTAGGGGCACGTGTGCTATGAATTGCGAGGGATTTTACCTTAATGCCCCTCCACTGATTCAATAACTGGCAGGAGCTGAGGCCTTAACGGAACTAAAAGGAATCTGACGAAAATTGAGAAGTATCCTCAAATTACTTGGAATCCTAAACAACTATAGCAAAAGTGACGAAATTGAAACCACATGAATTTTAGTGGTAAAAGTTGGAAACCATTGGGACTTAAGTGCGGTTTTGCCATAAATAAATAAATAACGGTCTAATTAAATTAACATAAATTCGATCAGCTAACCAATCACAAAAATGAAAAAAAACAGTTGCAAAATTGTCAGACTAAGAGGAATATGAAAAAATTTTGTTTTCTATATAGGTTCATTGGTACATGTGAACATGAAGAGAACACGAAGAAAGTGGAAGAAGAGGAGAAAAAGCTCGGAAATTAAAATTGCAAAAGGTGACTGCAAAGCAAATGGTAAAAAAGGCCAGGAAAGCACACAAGACCAGGTAGTTTCTTCGTGAATTTGAACTCTTTGTTCAGAGCATCGTGAATAAGTGATGAAAATTATAGAGCAATGCATAGGCCCTTTTTTTCTTACAAGAAACTGTAGAGAAATAGCTAGAGTATTTGCTGGTGATTGCCGTGGCTTGTGGGGAATGTCTTGCACATTGATTGGTTGGCTGGTAGGATGTTCTTCTTCAGAAACTAGAAAGCATTCAGTAAACCTTTTTTTTGTTTATTTTATTTGTTACACATTTAAAGAAAAAAAAACCCAGTTCCTCAACTTTAAAGACATCAGATTAATTGGGTGGTCATGATTTTGTTAAATGCAGAAAACTAAGAGCATTCACAATGAGAGGATGTAAATTCGGAGGTGTAAAGCCACTTTTACATCCCATTTACACATCCGGGGGTATAAATATGTTTTTGGCTCCAGTAGGGGGTGTAAATTCGGGGGTGTAGCCGTGGGTCCTAGCATTTTATGTTAACTTTTCTTCATTTTTCTTCTCTTTTCTTAGGTGGGTCCCGCCTGCAAGGGATGTAAAAATAGATGTAAATATACATTTTATTTTACATCCCCATGGTGGTGATGTATATTTACATCCATTTACATCTCTCAATTGGAGACGATTCCGGTAACTCGGGGTGTATATTTAACATACACCCCGATATACACCCCATACTGTGGATGCTCTAACAAGTTTGGATGACATACAGAAAAGGGATGCTTGAGCAATTGTAGATAAAGACCAAATTAGTTTGACATTACTGGAAATGATTGATTTAGATTTTACACTTGTACTCAATTTCCTAGCATTTTCATGTGTGCCAGCTGTTGGACGTATCGACCCCGCCAAACTAAGGATAATTTGCATGTGGCCAGGTGTACCTCTTCCTAGTTTGACTTTCCGCATCACAAAGCCTTGAATCTTATATATTGTTTGTTACTTATTTGATTGCTTAGTTCTCTTCATTTTCCCTCTGACATTGCTTCTCTTATGCAAAAAGAAACTATGGCACTTGGAGAGATCTTTCTTGCTGCATTCCTTCAACTGCTGCTCAACCGGTTGACTCCTCGCAACTTTCTCAACTTTGCACAGAAAGAGGGTGTTGGCAAGAAGATGAAGAAATGGACTACAATGTTATCTGCAATTGGAGCGGTGCTGCATGATGCGGAGGAAAAGCAACTAATGAGCGAGGCTGTGAAACTGTGGCTGGATGATCTCAAAGATTTGGCTTATGATGTGGAAGACATGTTGGACAAGTTTTCCACTGAGATGTTTCGGCGCAAGGCAAATAAGCTACATGGGGCTACCACAAGTAAGGTACGAAGCTTAATTCCAAGAGTTAAATTCAAAAGTAGTATGAACTCAGAAGTAAAGGTGATTACTGATCGATTACATGAGATATCTGAACGAAAAGACAAGCTGGGTTTAAATTATATTGGCACAACTTCTAGTAAGGCACGCCAGAGGTCACCAAGTTCAAGTGTGTTAGATGGACCAGTTGTTGGAAGAGATGGTGATAAAGCGAAGATTCTGGAATTGCTGTCAAGAGATGAGCCTAGTTCTGCCAATTTTCATGTAGTTTCTATTGTTGGCATGGCTGGAGTTGGGAAGACAACGCTTGCTCAGCTTGTGTTCAACGACAACGATGTTTCCATGAAATTCAGCCCTAAGGCATGGGTGTCCGTGTCTGATGATTTCAACATTGTTAGAGTAACAAGGGCAATTCTTGAATCAATCACGTCTCGGCACTGTGATTTGGAGGAATTCAGCAACATTCAGGATAATCTGAGCAAGGAATTAGCAGGTAAAAAGTTTTTAATTGTTCTAGATGATGTTTGGAATACATGTGACTATGATCTATGGATCAAACTTCAGTCGCCTTTTCGTGTTGGAGCACTAGGAAGTAAGGTAATTGTGACAACACGTGATGGAGAAGTTGCAAAAATGATGAGAGCCATTGGAGTTCATAATTTGGAGTGCATATCAAATGACGATTGTTGGAGAGTGTTTGAGCAGCATGCATTCTTGAATGTTAACAACGGAAAGCCACCAAATAGTGAGTTATATAGGGAGAAAATTGCTATAAATGTGGTGGATTGCCTTTGGCCGCAAGGACTCTTGGTGGCCTTTTGGGTTGTAAAGAAATAGATGAATGGGAAGAAATACTGAATAGCAATTTGTGGAAGCTATCAGATAAAATAAACATTCTGCCAGTATTAAAAGTGAGCTACCATTATCTCGCATCAAGTTTGAAAAGGTGTTTTGCCTATTGCTCAATACTTCCAAATGACTATGAGTTTGGAGAGAAGCAGTTGATTCTTCTCTGGATGGCAGAGGGTTTGATTCAGCAATCTGAAGAAAATAAACAAATGGAAGATATAGGCGGAGAGTATTTTCGTGAGCTAATATCTAGGTCATTATTTCAAAAGTCAAGTAAAAACAGTTCACAATATGTAATGCATGACCTTGTTAGTGAATTGGCACGGTGGGCTGCAGGAGAAACATGTTTTAGATTGGATGATAGCATGCAACGCAGATGTACTCCAAAGGTTCGTCATATGTCATACATCTCTGGTGAGTTTGATGGAGTTAAAAAATTTAAGGCCTTTTCTGAGGTCACTCGTCTGCGAACTTTCCTACCACTTCAACTTTCAGATGCTCGGAGGAATAGCCTGACTAGCAAGGTTAATCATGATTTATTGCCAAAATTGCAATACTTGAGAGTGCTCTCTTTGAATGGCTATACAATAACTGAGCTCCCAAATTCAATTGGTGATTTGAAGTTTCTTCGATACCTTGATCTTTCTCACACACTAATAGTGAGTTTGCCTGAATCAGTAAGCACTCTTTACAACCTACAGACGTTGATACTAGAAAATTGTTCTCGTTTGAAGGCGCTACCTACAAACATGAGTAATCTAATTAATCTGCGGCATCTCAACATTTCTGATGTACCCTTGTTAGAAGGAATGCCACCGCAATTTGGTCAATTGGCTAATCTGCAAACCCTGACTAATTTTGTTGTGGGAAAATGTCATGAGTCAAAAATCAGAGAGATAGGGCCGCTTCGGCATCTCAAATCGACGTTGCACCTCTCAGGATTGGAGAATGTGATTGATGCTGAGGATGCAAGAAGGGCTGACTTAATTAGCAAGGAGGGGCTTGATGTTTTGGTACTTAAATGGAAAGACATGCGAGAACCGAAATCAGATGTGCTTGACATGTTACAACCTTCTAGAAAGCTGAAACAACTTACGATCATTGGTTATGGCGGTTTAGAATTTGCAACATGGCTGGGAGATCCTTTATTCTCCAATATGGTGCTCATTCGGTTATACAATTGTAATAATTGTCGGTTCTTGCCACCACTGGGGAAATTGCCTTGTCTCAAAGAGCTTCATATAATAGGAATGCCCCGAGTGGAAAGCGTGGGTCTTGAGTTTTATGGAGAGGGATGCTTGCCTTTTCCCCTGTTACAAACCCTTTTGTTTCAAGACATGCAACATTGGAAGGAGTGGTCTCCTTGCGAATCATATCAAGGAATTGGAGTTTTCCCTTGCATGACAAAGCTGACTATTAAACGATGCCCAGTGTTGGAGGGTAGGCTACCCGAGGACCTTGATTCATTAGAAAAGCTTGAAATTGATGAGTGTGAAAATTTGATGGTTTCAATTGCCAACTACAAACAACTTCGTAATATAGACATCCACGGTTGCAAAGGGATGGTGCATGCAAGTGCAGTTGAATTTCGGTCACTAGAGTCCATGCATCTTTCAGATATTTTGAAGTTGACATTCCGACCAGAGAGATTCATGAGAGGATTATCAATGGTTAAAGATTTAAAGATCACCGGTTGTGAGGAGCTGACGTCTTCATGGAAGAATGAGGATGGATTACTGCAACACCTAGTTTCTCTTCGTCGTTTGGTCATTAAAGGCAACTCCAATCTTGTTCAATTGCATCAATTGACATCACTTCAAGAACTTCACATAGATGAATGCTCAAATCTGGTTTCTTTTACAGAGGCTAGTTTGCCACATTCTCTTAAAGTTCTAGCAATTGAGTCGTGTCCTTCTTTGATGTATCTTGCCAGAGACCAGATACCCCCAAGTCTAAGAAGAATAATTATACGAAGATGCCAAAATTTGAAATCTTTAGTGGAGGTTGGAATGGAGGGTTCTTTGTCTTCTTTTCCTTCTCTGATGCAAGAGGAGACATCTTGTCTTGAGTACTTGAGCATTGATATCTGTCCATCTCTGACGTCCTTATCATCCAGAGGCCATCTACCCAAGACGCTTAAACACCTTCTCATAGATACTTGTAAACAGCTGGAGTCAATAACAGAGAGGTTCGAGGAAAACACATGTCTTGAATATCTTTGCATCTATTTGTGTCAAAATCTTAAATTCTTACCAGAAGGCCTATGTAACCTCTCCAAAATTCAGTCGTTATTGATTTATGGCTGTGGAAATCTCGTTTCTTTCCCAATCGAAGGGTTGCCAAGAAGCGCCTCCAACCTGACAGAGATCAGCATTATCAATTGTGATAAACTGGAGGCTCTACCTGAAGGCATTAACTTCCTCAACTCTCTTCAGATATTGAGGATTCCTCACTTTCCAGAAGGGGGATTCCCTCCCTATCTAGCATCACTTAGCATAATGAATCTCAAGATCTGTAAGCCACTGTTAGAGTGGGGTTTGCACAGACTCACATCTCTTAGAGTGTTATGTATCAGTGGTGAAGATCCAGATTTGGTGTCCTTTCCACCGGAGAAGGAGATGCTGCTCCCTGAATCTCTTGTTCAACTTGACATTATAGGCTTCCCCAATCTCAATTACCTAGGCTTTCAGCTCCTCACCTCTCTTGAATCTCTTAAAATCTGGAGCTGTCCAAAGCTAACATCCATTCCAGAGGAATGTCTGTCTCTTTCGCTTACACAGCTTAGTATCCGTGAGTGTCCCGTTCTAGAAGAGAAATGCAAACCAGGTAAAGGGCAGTACTGGCCCTCCATAAGCCACATCCCTTACATATGGATTGGAGGCCGGAAGATAACAACACCCTGATTAAGTAATACAAGAGAGCAGTTGGAAGCTGAGAACACATGCCTCTCATTCTCATGCCCCCTCTCAAGGTACTTCCATTTTGAGACAACATAAATAATGTCATTTGCTTTAACTGCATATCTATTTAATACCGTTGTGTGAACTAATTGTGTCTTATGCTCTTAGTTTATGGAAGATGAAGAAAGCCAAGGGACAATATGATGCAGCACCTTGTCAACCATTAACTTAAGCCTGACACTAATAGTAAGCTTCCTCAATTATCTATGAGATACTCTGCTACTTGTTTTTTGTTTTGGTCTGCAGGGTATTGTTGAACATCTTATTGAATGATAATTTAACTTCAGTTGATTTTGTTTGGATTTACATCTCTATACAATTTTGGTGCTGTCAAAGTTTCTACCCCATAATTTTTGGGTTTGTACTCTGTGACTGTATTTGTTTTCTCAACTTTGGTTTATATATATATATATATATATATATGCAAGATTCTGAAGTTCTCATCTTATTTATGTGCATTTCTACTTTATAATTTTTGGTTGTGTGCTCTATAATAATTTTTTTAAATTTTAATCCTTAACTTTACTCTGCAATTTTGTTTGAAGTTGTTTTTATTTTAATTTTATTTTGGATCACCTTTCACATTCATTGCTGTATCTGGTTATATAAACAATCATATTTTGTTTGGTTTTGTTTCTTTTCCTTTTAGCTTTGGTTAATTTTGGTTTGTATATTGTCAATTTTTTTTTAATACAAGCAATAGTCTAAACTACTCTAAAGTTAGTCTAGTTTATGGGGGAGGGGGATCGAACTCAGGTTCAAAGGGGCGTGCACACTGCCTTGGTCAATTGGCCTAAACCACACATGCTTTTTTCTTTTCTTAAGTGATCAAATAGAGAGTATATGGTTAATTGTGGTTAATGTTTGTAAGTGTTTTCTTCTTAATTTGATTTATCTAGTGATCAGTCTGCGATCCAGATGCTTATGAGGGGACTCTTTGTGGTTGCAGGACTAGGAAAACAGTGAGGGAGCTTCAGATGATTATATATGCAGGCACTTCCAGTAAGATTGGCATGGAGGTCGATTAGCTTCATCCTTCATCAGCTAAGTCTTGTTGATGAAGGCCATGCTACCCTGCTCGATCGACATGCCAGATTGAGAGTGACCTCCATCATTGGGGACTTCGGTTTTTCTGAACCATTTTACGTTGCGTTAGCTTCGTTTATGTTGCACTACTTTTCGGTAGTATGTCTGTATAAAGAAACTTGTACCAATTTTTATTGCTCCTAGCATCCAAGCTAGAGTTTGGTTTTTATGTAGAAATATGTTAAAGCATCTGCTATAAAGTTTGCTTCCCGATAGACATACTGAAAATGAAAAACTTCATATCACAACTTTTTTTAAGTTTCTTTTCTGTTACAACTTCTCAGACTTTTCAAATTTACACAAACTATTGGTTGGTTGTGAGGGTAGCCCAAGCAAGTGGAGCTCGCTTCAAGACACAATACCTGAAAATGGTAGGTTTCTCAGTTACATGTTACTTTAGTTATGCATGTTTGACCTTAGCATAAGCTAGGACTTCAGTTAAACTTAAAACCTAAGTTTTAATTTGCATGCCTTGTTCTTGTTGGATGCTGGTAAATCAGCATGTACCGAACCCAACAACCATATATTATATGCTAGGTAATTTAATTCACCCCAATAAAGTATTGCTCTCAAACACTTCCCTTTCAACATGTTTATATTGGTATTCAATTTAGAAGGACAAAGCCAGCAATCTGTTTGTGACTTTACATTGCTTGTAAGGAAATTCTTTGTTTTAAGGAATGTCTTGTTTTGAGTTTTGGAGATGCTTATTAAGGATAAAGAGTGTTAAAACTAATATCGTAGAAGAAAATTTTATATTATTTTTCCTTTCTCTTTAGACCTTATGGGTGTACTCGCAATCTAATATTTGAAGTTAACGTTGTCATTTGGAGAAATTCTTTTATGGCATCAACAATTGAAGAACAGAAAATTAATAGAAAAGGTTTTGTAAAAGCAATTTGAAACCTCAAGGGTGTAATCTCGAGTTTTACAAAAGTACGAAAATCCTCATATTGTCAATGTAAATAATTCTTTTTTTATATGTGGTCTCATTTTAAACATCATTTATTTTTAACAACTAACATATTGTCATGTCAAGTCATTTATGAAGCTATCATCTTTCACATTACTAATTATTTGGTAAAAACTAAAATTTGAAAAACTTTTCATTCTTTGTGATTATTGTATGACAGTATAATTTTTTTGTAATTAATCTCACTTAATGCAACGACTAACATGCCACCATTTCATCCCCTCTCAAATTTCGAAAAACATTTTAGCATAATAGCGTCTTAGGTATTATAAATAATCGATGATATGTTATATTATTTGGCGATTAATAATAATGTTTGAATATTGCATTTAAAATAAATAAATATTTAGTCTTACTTTGAACATCATTTATTTATAACAGCATACCCTCTGCCTGTTTTATATAGCATTTGTAAATATTTAATATTACGCATTATATTTTGTTCATATGACCAGGAGAGAAACAAATAAATAAAGGAAACGTGGGCTGCAATTCGTGGGCTTTAAACAACATTCTAGGGCAGCAATGCAAAGGCTTTAAACATGATTAAATTATAAACAGATTAAAAAGGGTTGCAATTCGTGGGCTGAAAAGGCTTTTTTCATTTTTCTTAATTAAGACATCCAAATAGAAATGAGTAATTTATTTTTTCGTTTTGCATAGTAGAATTAAATCAGTAACATATTTAAATATTCACTAAAGAAATAATAATTGATACGTAATTACTAATTAAAATGATTCAAAAAGGCTAAAATATTACTTAATCACATATATTAAATTAAATAAGTTGGCCAAAAAACAAAAGTAAAGAAACTAATTATATATTTTTTAATTTTTTTTTTAAAAAAAACCTCTCCCGACGAAATTTCGTCGGTAGAGGTAACATTTGTCGGGAGAAGTCTAATTCAACAAACATTTGCTGGCATAGACTTGTGTCGACGGAAATTCGTTTGGAGAGGTGTTTTCGTAGTTTGCTATTTACAGGGTATAGGCGGGCAGCTATACTTTAAAATATTCTTTTTTTGGTATATAGCCGAACGGCTAGACTTATATTTTTAGAGTATAGCCGCCCGGCTATACTCCAAAATATTATACTGTTAAAATATTATATTTAAGGAGTATAGCTGTGCGGCTATACTATTTAAAGGTATAGAATAGTAAATGTAATATTTTAAGGGTATAGACCGTTGAATATATTATGGTTTAATACTTTTATTTATTTAGTGAAGAATTAGTATTTAAATATTTGAAGTAATTTCATAAAAATTACTTAATAAAAATTAATAAATTATATTTAATGATCTAAAAGAATTTTGTGGAATGTAAAATTATTTTTAAAATAGTTTCAATTATTTAAAAATTCTAAAAAATTATTTTAGTATTCTAAAAATGGAATTATCCAAGTCTCGAAACAAAAACCATAACTTTCGAACTTATCCGAACTTGGTCCAAAATCATTCGCAAGCCTGGAACCCTAACTGTAAACCTATTGTAGGGCACTTCGGACTCGATTAAGGTTGCATAATCACGTAACTCAACCCAGAGCTTTACGATTTAGGTTTCGCTCTCAATCTTGGGCTCTGGGGAGATTTTTTGAAACAGATTTAAAAAAAGGAAATTGTAATGCTTTTTTTTTTTCTATGACTTATAAATGACATTGATATGATTTAAATTATAAGGATATTTGGTTGTCAATTTTTTTTAAAAAATTTAGCCTTTTCAAATTGTACCTCCGTTAAAAAAATTCTTGGATATGCCAGTGAACATATTAGTTAAATCAATTAAAATAGTTTATACAAAATTAAAATGACTGATGTGGCACATGACATGGATTGCAACGGTTTTCCTTATCTCTTCTCTCCATGTTTCTCTTTGTTTTCTCGTGTTTCCTCCTTCTCTTTCTCCACCAGTTTTCTTCTACCCTTGACTTGGTGTGGTTTCTCCATCCATTTTTGGCAATAACCACACTACATGCAAAAAATTTGGATTTAAACCATACCTATGGCCCTCACTATTGAACTTTTATGGGTTCGTGGGGCCCATAACCTTTGATTCGAAAGTTCCTATAGGCCCAACAAAGTCTACTAAACAAGTCCTGAAGGTTTGGTCTCTATCGAGCAATTGGATCTAAGTCAATCACACGATCGAATGGCAATAGATTCACCTAACCCTAGAATCATTGACTCAAAGTATCCGAGACTCCGATTTTCGATCTGCAAGTTCCTACATGATCCTAGAGGTATAGGGAACAAAATCATTGAAATAGGAACCAATCGGACGGTCCGAACCTATTGAACCTGGATATCGCATAATAGATACAATATCCGTTCTATAGTCAAATGATAACCAACTTCAAATTCGAGCATACTGTTGCTCGGGACGACATGGGGAACATTTTAAAACACAATAGGCCACCACAGATGGCCCACGCTCCGCCAGTAGGGGTGGGTGGTTTGAGAGACTTTTTGGTGAGCGGCCAATACTTATATTGATTGTTCAAGCACAACTAGAGGAGCCTTTTTGGTACTTGGGCCCAGCCAAAAAATAGCCGGAGGTGCCTGAAACACGGCCAAAATCACCGGCCTCTAAAGCTATCTAAGTCAAACTCTCAAATCTCAAAATCAACCTAAACCATGTACACAATCAATAAGAGCACAATGAGAGGATCGAAATCCATACCTGGATTGACGTCAATGGTCGAAATCGGTGTTGGAAAGTGAAACCCTCTGTTGAGACCCAAAAAAATTCACGGTTGGGCGCGAATAAATTATCGGCCTAAAGCGACGCTCCATTAAGAAAAGACGTAAAGAGAAGTACACGAAAATCCACCTCATGCGAGTTACAGTTCACGTGCCACACTAAATAGATAAATTGTCATGCTAGGGGTTGAGATGAAATATGCCTGATTTACGAACCCATGCTAAAATTAAACATCGCAACCCTTCCCAAGGATGATAAAATAAAAACATGCCAAGCAACATGCCATGCCAAGCATGAATTCGTTATTTCGCACACAACCACACTACAAGCCTGAGTGGGCCCAAGCCACTCAAATGCCCGGGGCTTGCTCGAGTGGGTTGTGATATGGATGGTAATGAATCAACATGAGGCCCATTGATGGGTCGAGAAATGGAAGGTCTCGGGTTGCTTGGGAGCCTCGAGACTCAAGCCCATTTCTTAGGCCCAAACATATGGGTGAGCACAAGAAAGAAAAATAGCCCAATAGCCCAAGCAAAATAGCCTATTGACACAACCAAAAAGCCCAATGTTTAACAAAAATAGCCCACTTGCTTAAAGAACCACCTTGGCCCATACAAAACACCAAAATAAGCCACAAAAACCTCAGCCCTTTGCTGGAAAAATAGAAGCCACGTAGAGAAGGTCTGCAGGATCATTGAACAGAGTTGCTGGAAGGTTCCAGCACATGGAGGAAGCAAGTTTCAAAGTCAAAACATCTAAAGAACCAGGGGGTATTAGCGTGTAAGATACTAAAGAGAGAAACACCCTTCTAACCAGCATATATATCCCAACTCCTTTTCCCATCAGATTTGGCCATGGAAAAAAGGAAAGAAAGCAATAAAAGAGATGGCTGGGAATGAAAGTCTGCCATTGAGATAGCTGCGGGAAAAGGGGGCCATGAGCTTAAAAAAAACTCTGATCTTGTGCAAATAGACAGAAGGGATTTCATCAAAATGGGAAGAGTCAAGGAGGGAGATGAGAAAGGAGAGGAAAAGCTTGGCCAAAATGGGTAGAAGCCATTAGGGTTTCTTGAGAAGTGGTGGTTTCCAGCGGCTATAAAATGAGGTTTCTCCTACCTAACGAATCCAACTCAGATTGAGAGAGCAGCCTTTCTCTCTAACTTGCAAAAAACCCAGCAACCTCATGCACTATTCACCTTTCTTCTTTATTCTTCTCTTCTGGCAGACAGAGCATCTGTCAAGCTGCCGGAAGAACTCTGTTCTCTATTTCCTCTTTCTTAGCCAAATCTCTCACAAAACTTCTCCTTTCTTACCCTAACACTTCCTTTTCCCTCAAAGCAAGCCTAAATTTTCTCTTAGTGCTAAACTCATGTTGATTTTGCTTCCACGCCACATGCCACTCACGCTGAGCTTAAGAGTTTATCTGTAAGCATGAAGAAATTACCTGTAAGCTGTTATTATTTTGGTTGGTGAATATAACCAAAATACTTCCTAAGGCTCTGCTGCACTTTTGAAGTGTTTTCGGGGCTTAATTTTCGAACTCAGACAAGGGGGACAATTCCATCAGTCTGCTCTTTACGGCAGCCCAGCCCATTTATAGATGTCGGAAGAAAAAGTCCCCTACCCCCTCATTCTCCCTTTTGGAGCTCGAGCCAGCGTTGTGAGGAGCTAAGGAGGTCAGGCTTTGGCCCAGACATGTCAGTGGTTGTCATTTTCCGACCAATTTCGTCGTCGTCGGTGACCAGGCGATGGCGTTGTGTCTTCGGGACGACGAATAGTCACTGCTTGCTCAATGACTGTGTCGAAGGGGAAAGAGAGAGACGCGGGGAAGGAGAGAGAACTGAGGGGGTTTTACGCATGCACGAGAGAGAGAGAGCTAGGTATTTAAGGTTTTCGAATAGTTTAAGTAATTCCTAATACGTCCTTTCCCCTTTTCAGACCTTTTCTCCTTTGTTACAACTCGGAATTTAGCGGCCGCCTGATCATATTGCGAGAGAGATCTATCTTACATACATACAAACTAACTACGTACATCCACCCATCCCATTAATTTCTCCACCCACACCAAAAACAAAAAAAAAAAAAAAAAAAAAAAAAAAAAAAAAAAAAAAAAAAATCGATCGAAAAAAAAAAAAAAAAAAAAAAAAGTGACTAATAGACTAAAGAGAAAACCCTACCCCCAAGGGCAAAAGTGTAATTGCACAATTAAATAATTAAATAAGCTGCTTAATTGGGTCGGGGTATTACAACAATTGTCATCTCACCTAGTAAGACATTTTTTGTGCAAAATAGCATAAGCTTGATCCAAAAAATAAATTTGTGCTTGTGGAGTTCAAAATAGACAATATCTTGCTGAGAGAGTGGGCTATGACAATTGTCAAGGGCGAAGAACATTGATGAGGCAACTATTACTACAGTTGAATGCCTTGCACTTCGAGATGGCCTAGCTCATGCTATTCATCATGTTGGCGTAGAGTTCCGATTGAGGTAGACTCCAGGCTCATTATTGACTGTATTAATATGCAGTCTATGTTCCTTGGAGTATCAAGCTGCTGGTTGAAGATATTAGGTTGTTACCTGCCATGTATTGAGGTGCAATACAAAGCAAAGAATAATAGAAACATTGGGGCAGAGTTCGTCAGGGCATTATTTACGGCCCTCATATGAGGTCCTATTTCTTAATCGTTAAATCAAACTAATCAATTTCATCCAACGACTAGCCAATTTGATTCAACGATTAAGAGATAAAATATCATCTAAGAGCCTTAGATAAAGCCTTCAATATAAAACTCTATGCCCCAATGTTTCTATTATTCTTTGCTTTGTATTGCACCTCAATACATGGTAGGTTCGCGGATCCTTCTTTATCTTTACTAAAATAATTTAAGAGCACGTAACTTTTGAATAGTTTATGAGTACGGATTGAACTTTAAACAAAACAACCTGCCCAACATAATTAATCGATTATTTTTATTTGTTTATATTGAATGCACTTTTTTCCTTTATCTTTTTTTATTTTGTTTTTAATGTATGTTTTCCTGGTGGCTTGGCCCCCAGTTTCTTGGGAAACACATTGTTCCACACGTGAAAAAGTTTTGGAATGAATTAAAATGAAAGCTAAAAGAGAGGGAGCTTACATATGTCAAATTTCATGTTATTATAACCCAAAAGTTAAGAGCTTGAACCGACCATTTTGCCTGAAATTCGTTTAATATTTGGCCTATGAAAAAGTAGTAATATTCTGGCTATTATCAGAGCTGGTAGACCATATGATATACTTAGACCTTAAGGTTTAGGTTGAAATACATGCTCCTAATCTTTCTCTCTCTTCTTCTTTTGTGTAATTTCCACTTAGTCGGAGAAGATTACAATTAAGTAATGGAATTAATTAAGTTGTTAATTGACGTGTGATTGTGATTCATGTGAGCTAATAATGATAATCAGTCTTTGTTTAGAGCTTAACCAAATCACTTTCAACTATGATGCACCGCACGCCTTGTGTTTTTCTTCTTTTTGTCACATCGTTAAAGCTTGCAAAGCAAGATTAATTTAATTTTCTAGCAAAATAAACTAATAAAATAGTGGCTTATGGTAGAAACAAAGATATTAATTTCCAAGTTTTAAGGGGGATTGTGTCAAATATCAAATATATTTGTTGTTGGTGGTAAAGCTACCACAAAAATCAGAGGATATTGGTCCAACGTCGTATTTTTTAAACACTAAATTCATCAAAACTATATAAACACAAAATTCAAATATCGATAACGTAATTTGGTCAACAAGGTTATTTGTTCTCCTTGATGGAATCCCAGTGAAATCGTAAATAGAGAATGGATGACCTTGTTGAGTGAAGGATGTAAGTTTTATTTTGTCACTTGGGCTGCTGAGCTATATTTTGATCAAAATACTTCTTTAAAGCTTGTCACGTGATGAATGCAACCAATATATGGTATGGTTGATTTAAGCCGATTTGTGCAATCGAACCAAACCATTACAGTCTGGTGCAGTTTTAAATCGTTTGACTTTTTTCTTTGTCAGATTCAAACCAAACTGACCATTACAGTTTGGATCCGCATTTAGGTAGTTTGGCTGGGTTAATGTCCACCCTAGTTTTAATGAAAGTTTTAAGGACTAAAATGAGGACATTAAAAAATTAAGGGACCATTTGCAATATAAAAAAACCCCAACCAAAAAAAAAAATTTCTTTAAGCCTTCAACTCAAAAAAATGCCACTTGTACTCAACAGGCGAAATTACTAACATAGGTGATTATCTTTTCTGGAGTAGAGTATTTTTCTACTGATGAAGATTCATCTATTAGGCCTTCCTCAATAGGTTTGTTGACGTCAAACTTTAATTAAATATTAATCATACAATATTGTGGAAAAGATATCCCAAAAACATTAAATCACAACAAAAAATTGAAAAGTAATTTTCTGAGTTTCAAAAGAAAATTCTGAGAACTTGTGGTGATTACCGACAGTTTAAAGCATGTATAAACTATAAGGAGGAACATTTTCGAAAGAAAAAAAAACTATGAGGAACATATTCCAATTCGTTCCTTTCTTAAAACATAATGGATTTTGGGAATGTTATTTCACAATAGCTTTCATGACAAATCTTCCCCTTCGTCTCTTTTTTTTTGGAATGCTGATTGTTCAACGGACAACCCTCTAAACAGAATAAAATATATAAATAAAACAGAATAAATTGTATAAATAAAACAGAAATAAAAGCTGTACAGCTCAATCCCCATTAACAAATAAAAGGGACGGGGCTGGCTAGTATGCGTTTTAAGTGGTCCCTTCTCTCTCTATGGCAACCTACTTTTAATTGCACGACTAATTCTTCCCCATGTCAAAGTAGCCGTTGCACCTCTCCCTGTCTTCCCATTTAAATATGTCCCTAATTACCAATTCTCTTTTCAACCAAGAAATCCGTGTCTCCATTTCCGCTCCTCTCTCTCTCTCTCTCTCTCTCTCTCTCTCTCTCTCTCTCCTCGCTCACTCACTCTGACCCTTTTCTCATCAAATCAAGTGTCAGACAATAAAACATGTTTCATCAAATCAGCTCCACTCTATTGGAAAACAAACGCCTCTCAATTCCCTTGCTCTCTGCCTCAGCAACAAGCCCTACTAGCAGCATTAGCAGCAACAGCAGAAGCACAAGCAGCGAGGTAGATGAAAGCCCGCGGGATTCAGGCCATTTCGAGCTCCAAGATCATGTCAAGTGTCGATCTCCATGTGTACCCTTTTCGGGGTCTTTCTCGTATCGATCATTGGCTGTGCTCTCTGGCCATGTAGGCTCAGTTTCATGCTTGGCCTTATGTGGGGAATTCATTCTCAGTGCTTCACAAGGCAAAGACATCATAGTGTGGCAACAGCCTGATTTGAGGCCTTTCACCAAGTTTGGACAAGGCGATGGCTCTGTCAAGGCACTTGTCACCGTTGGGAACAAGGTCTTTACAGCTCACCAGGATAGCAGGATTAGAGTTTGGAAGGTTTCGCGGCGATCGGAGAATGTGTTTAGGCTTGTTGATACACTTCCCACAACTAAAGATTATTTGGGGAAGTTCATGAAACAGAGCAATTATGTCCAAACTCGGAGACATCACAAGCGATTGTGGATCGAACACGCCGATAGTATATCTTGTTTGGCCTTCTATAACGGCTTGATTTACTCTGGATCATGGGATAAGACTCTTAAGGTGTGGAGGATCTTGGATTTGAAGTGCATAGAATCCATCAAGGCTCATGATGATGCTATTAATGGGCTGGTGGCAGGTAATGGGATTGTGTATTCTGCTTCTGCAGATGGAAAAATTAAAGCTTGGGGAAAAGAGGGGAAGAGCTCACATTGTTTGAAGGGTATTTTGGAGGGTCATAAGGATGTTTCGCTTAATTCTGTGATCGTTTCGGAGGATGGTAGATGGGTTTATGGAGGCGGTTCGGATGGGTTTGTGATGGGATGGCAAGGGAGTTGTGGTGATGTTCAAAATCAAATTGAGAGCTGGAAGTTGGTTTGTGAAACAAAAGCACATCAAATGGCTGTTTTGTCTATGTGTTTGATGGGGGAGATGTTGTGCAGTGGCTCAGCTGATAAGAGCATTGGCATATGGAAGAGAGAGGCTTTTGGCAAGCTTTGTAAAGTTGGGATCATTAGTGGCCATGAAGGGCCAGTTAAGTGCTTGCAGGCATCACCAAATAATGTTGGTGGTGGTTTCATGTTGTACAGTGGAGGCCTTGACAAGAGCTTAAGGGTTTGGTGGGTTCCCAAGCCCTCTAATAATAGAGCAGAGGAAACCACAGAGGAAAAGTCCATCATCTTATGCTAGGAAATGTTTAAAGTTAGTGAGTATTGATCCATTGAAGCACCCTTCTTTTTTCAAATGGTGTTTGCAGTGCCTTACAATACAGGGTCTTGTTTGTAGCTGTTGCAGAAAGATTGAAGACTTCACTGAGGTTCAAGGGCAGAGAAAGGGGCAATTTTGAAGCCTCAAATTTGGTTTTTGTTGTAACTTGTAACATATACCTTTCTTTCTTAAGTTTATTTCAGAGAATTGGGTGTAAATTTCTAGGAATACTAGAGGGGAAAGGGAAAGTGGTGTGGTTTTTTGTTTGTCAGAGTATAGTCATTGCATTTCCTGTCAAATTGTCAATTGTATTTAGGGTTTTGATGAATTCAACAAATTAAAGAGTCAATAATATTTTCTTGTAGTTGCATGATTGTGTTTCTGAATAAAAAGTCATTTCTCATCACAATCTTGTCTTTGCTAAAGACAGACTTAAAGCTATTCAGATGAATCTTGAAACATGGACAGTCTGAATATGGCAGGCAGAAGTGGCTCACCAGCATTTTAAGACAGAAAATTAAAGATGTTCCTTAATTCCCAAACCCCACCAAATAAACTGAATAAGAACAGGAACAAACAGTTTGCTTAGTATAAGAGCTAAAGAATCTTTTCTTTGGCTAAATTTCCCTTTTTGGGTGTTTTCCAACCTTACACATATTCTTCTCTTAATTGGTGGAGAAAAGCACATGCCCTGTCTACAGGACAATAGTTTAAGTCAAAGCTCTCCAGCTATTTGTCTCTCATTTGCAAGAAAAAGAAGTCACTTGAAGGAACGGATAGAATGTGCTGAGAACATAACGTGCACTTCAAAAAATAAGTGACGAAAGTCACCATTATTTGGTGACTAATGCGTAGGTGACTAAAGGCTGAGAACATAAAGCCTTTAGTCTCCCCCGCATTAGTTACTAAATGTCACCAAATAATAGTGACTGCTGCCACTTTTTTTTTTTAATTTTTTTTTTTTATAGTGGTGTTAGATTATATGGCGAAATAAAATATGTATTTAAGCATATCTCAAGCTCCTGTTTTCTAGATTTGCATTATATAGATTCTTTTTGTCTTCCACTTGATTATTATTTCTTTGTTAATCACATCTGCTAGTCTTGATCTAATCAATTATTCTAAAACTAACATGAATGTATAGCAATTATTGTCCAACACAAAGAAGTGAATGTTGTTGAAGGTGGACAAAAAGGAGTTCAGGAGAGTGAGTGACACAAAACTCCATAACCCCTACTTATATGATTCTGCCTCACGGTCAAGTGTTGGGAATGATCAAAATGGGAGGGTGAAGGGTGGAATTTTTTTTTTTTTTTTTTTTTTTTTTTTTTTCATTTTTCATGTTTTTCATACTTTAAAGATAAAATGAGAATTAAAAACTTAAAAATATTTTTTTTTTTTTTTTTTTTTTTTTTTTTTTTTGGTCAGAGAGTGATTTTTTTTTAAAATAAATATTGTTTTTTTTGGTTGGAAGTTCAAGTTCCCCTAAAAATAAAATAAATAAACGAATTATTTTAGCTCATCTAATAGCAGCTACTCCACTTGTTGAAGCCGGAAGCATGAACCACCAAATTTCTTGGTTCAACCACCACCAGTCAGGGCTTCGTAACGCCACTCCATTATATTATATTCTGCCTCCGTTGCTACAGTACCAAGAGCACAATGGACCCCCTTATAAATAAATAATTAAAATTAAAATTAAAAATTGGTATATATATATAAATAAGTTGTTTAATTAATTCAGGTGAAAGGAAGGTACCCGCTAAAGCTACAAAACATAAAATAACATAAATAACAAAAAATAAAAAATTAGAGCTGTGATTATGTTCCCCAAAACACTATGATTATGGTGGGATCAAGTACTAGTATAGCTCCATTTTGTATTAACTATTTATTCATCAAGGTGTTGTTTTCGTCACTTTTGATTTTATCCTTTTAATTTGGACCATCTTAGAGGGGAGTTTGTTCGCCACTTTAACCTAATGTGTATCTTCATCACCTTTCTCAATATTTGACACATGTCAATTGATATAATCATAGTTCGATAAATACAAAGAGGACACGTGTCAAATGTTGAAAAGGATGATGAAAGTACACTTTGAATTAAAATGGCGAACAAAATATTTCCAACCTAGAAAGCATAGTGTAAATCAGGAAGACAACAAAAGTTGAAAGCAAATGTAGGCTATTTATTTCCTTTCAGCCAACCTATATTCCATAGCAGAAGCACCTTTTTTAGCAAACCAAAGCAACTAGCTAGGTTGAGCACTTTTGGGAAAGAATTATTAGAAAACTTTCAGAAATTATTACTGCTTTTGGAATTGCTATTGGCTGATGGCTAGTGCTATATTTTTATTTTATTTGGCATGGAAAATAAGGGAGAAAGTGAGAGTACAAAGCAAACAGCAGCATGCACACACACTTTGACTGCTTTTTTCTAACAAGAAATATTATTCCAAGTACCAACCAACCAACCAACCAAATGCCCTATTGCTTCCCTTCAAGTTTAACCTAGAAAGTGTATATAGTTTTTGCTCAAAATTAAAAATTAAAAAGACAAGAAAATAATGTATAAAGTATAGTTACTGAGGATACTGTAGGCGTTTCTAGGGCCATGTCCATAATTGAATGTTTGCTTGTGGGCGTTTTTGCCCACCATTGTACGGTACCAAATTTTAAAAGGAAAAAGAAAGAATTTTTTTTCAGGGCATGAATTCGTTTTCACTGTTCGATCTGAAAAAGAAAAGAAAATGGGAGAATATAAGGTTGAATTAGATTTTTAGTCCCTATAATTTGACCTAGTTTGTTCTCTTTCCTTTTAATTTTGACAATTTTAGTCTAGTACTTTAGTTTCGTTTGAAATCAAATATAAATCATGAAATCTAGCATCAAATTAATAAATGAATTTCAATGTGGCAACTTCTCGCATACTAGTTATATAATTGATTGAGTGATTGCAATGGAATTTCATTTCTTCTATTTAAAAAAAAAAATAAGAATTTCAATGTTTTTATCTCTTTAGGTAATGTATTTTGGGGTTAGGGAAGATAGTGGGGTTTTCATAGAAATTGTGAAATTTTGAATTAGAGGTTGGGATGAACTTAGAAAATGAGGTTAACAAATAGAAGTGTGGGTTTAAATAAAAAATAAAAAAAAAAAAAAAAAAAAAAAAAAAAAAAAAAAAAAAAAAAAAAACTTACCCAAAAGAAAATGCTTAGGTGGTAAATTAACAATTATGCTATCATTCAAGGGCAAAACTGCATATTATCTTAAATTTTAATTAGTCAATTACTTTTGTGGTTCTTGTATATGTTTGTTGTTGATACCATTTTTATATTTTAAAAAATTATATTATTTTTCTAGGACCAAGGGCAGGTAGAGGTGGTGGAGAAGACTGGGGCTGGGGGAAGAGCGATAGGCAGTGGGTGCCTTGAGAAGCTTACCGTCGGAGAGGAGGTGGGAGTCGCACTGAGAGAGAGAGAGAGAGAGAGAGAGAGACTCTGGTTGTATGTGGATTGGGATTGTCATATGGATGGTTTATCCCTTCAATTTAACCCAAAAATTGACTGACTTTGACGATGGGACCAATTTGACACTAAATGGAAAGTTTGAAGGACTATTTTGATTTGAAGAATTAGTTGAAGAATTAAAATAAAACTCGAGCATAACTTGAAGGACTATTTTGATTTGAAAAAAAAACCTCAGCAAATACCAATAATCACTTAAAAAAATGTGACAGGAATAACATTGATATTTTTTGGAATATCGTATATTGGCTAAAATTATAAATTTTCAATAAACTTAACTTCTTCTGACAAATTCTTTATATAAGAATGTAGGATTTTTAACTCAAATGGTCCTCAAATTTATACACGATTTGTATTTTGGTCCATCAACTAAATTATTCGTTCAAATGGTCCACATACTCTTTACTATTAGTCCCACAGTTACATTCTGACAATGTTGTCGTCAAATGTAGAGGTAAAATCGTCCATTCTAATCAACGCTCATCCTCATCGTTGGCCAACCACCATCTTCCCCAGCTGACAAGGTCATCAGCTTCCCAAACCTCAAAAATCAATCAAACCCAACCAATAAGCTGGAGGATCAGAGAGATACAGAGGCGGGGAGAGATGGTCATCCTTCCACATCAAGCTAAGCCACCCATTCCTCTCTATGTTTAAACCCCTTAACCTCATTCCAATCTCCCTCAAACCCAACCAAAGAAACAATCTTTAAGTCGTTTAGCAATAGCATTATATTCAAAAGCAAAAGCTATAATATCTCAAATTCCCAATACTCAAGCCAATGCTAGACTTGGTCTGATTTGCTTAGTTTAGCTATGGCCGATAAATTTTAGGGTTTGCAGCTGAACCCATTTTGCATGTGCTAAGGGATGAGGGTTGTGTTATCGAAATTGTAGTTTTTTCTTTTTCTGTATAAGCCAAAAACAAAACTTTTTATAATATAAATAATATATAAAAACAAATTGAAAAGCTTTTAAGGTACAATGAAACAAAAGAAAAACAAATTAATAGGTAAGTAAAAGCAAAATAAATTATAAATAAGGAGAGCTTGGTATGGTGAAGCACAAGTCAAAGACGCTATTTTGAAGCCTTTGTAGCCTACCTACGTGCAAGTACTAACGGTCTACAAGACACCTAATATACAAGATAAAGATCCACTATGAGCAGCATTCACAGACGGATATATACACAGTCCCCTTCTATTGAGGGATCCCCCGAATAATTTTATTTGAGGGATACCCTTTAGGGTCCCCTACAAATTTTTTTTTCAACGATTCAAACCATCTATTTTTTAAGTCTACGTTTATAGATCATCCTTGCAAAAAATTAGATAAATCAAAAACTATTTCGACATCCAATTGTGTCCTACTAAAGCAATGAACACAGTGCTTCAAAAAAGTACTAAAATTTCAATAATTCAATTGAGTAGTCAAATAATATTGAATTCAAGTGATTTTTTTATAGAGATGATCTTTGAATGAATTTCTACAAAGTAGATTATTTGGATTAGTGAAATACAATACGGAGTGGCCCCTATAAGGGTTTCCCTCAAATAAACTTATTTGAGGGATCCATCAACTGAAGTTCTCTGTGTGTGTGTGTGTGTGTATATATATATATATATATGTGTGTATATATATATATATGTGTGTATATATATATATATATATATATATATATGGTGAACCTTCACTTAATGATGATAGTCTCCATTTGAGGAACCTTAGTGTACAAAGTATTGAACTCGGCACATTTGACCAAACTTCAACATATCCCACACATAATATTGGTTGATACTTGGCTGCGAGGTAACGTTAATTATGGCCATGCACTACTCTTGATTCTCATGAGAGTTACTAGAGAATAACTCAATTCTCATAGTCGTGACCTCACGACGTCTCTCACTTAGGTGAGTTCTCCAAGGGTACGTGTAACCTACACCTTGCATGTAGAGAATATATATAAAGGTAGGAGAAAAGATAATTAGATTTTGTTGTGTTGTCTTCTCTTCATATGTGAAGGATGAGTGGTCTTCCATGAAATTCTATGATTAATCAACTTTACCATAATTAGACCCAAAAAAATAAAATTCCAACTTTACCATAAAATCCCATATCTAAATCATCAATAAAAAAAAAAAAAAAAAAAAAAAAAAAACCAAAAATTCCTTAGGGGCGTGCTCGGTTGAAAATGCGAACGGAGTTTACCTATCCTCATTATGGAAGGGAAATAGGTATGCTTAGGGGTTAAAATACTTTAGTGTAGTTTGCAAGAGTGCAATAATAATATATCGGATCCAAAACAAAAACCAAAGCTGATTAAAGATGAATTTACATAAGTCAAGCTACAAAAATAAAGGAAAGATCTTGCCATTACATTTCACAATAATTATTGCTCAAATTACACCATCAAATCCAAATACTATTATCGGAAAAGTTTAACCTTGGGATTCAGATTCCTCAAACAATCCATTCTCAACAAAACAAGAATGACTGCCTAAAAATATCTGTGAAGTTTGAGTCTAATGTAACAACTTCCAAAAATAGCACATCCACCTCTTATTTCATAAACACGACTTAGAAATTCATTTGTTGCAACATCAAGACAACTCTTACAATGCGTGCCAGAAAGGTCTTTGGTGCATTCAACAGAACCAAAAAATGTCTGCCCGTTTTAACATTTTTTTGCTTCCCTTGAGCATACAACGGTCCACTAGAAGCTTTTAAACATAATTGGGTGAACAAGCTACGAGCATAAGAAAGAAACTGGGTATATTCATAGAAATCAGGATTTATCAAATAAACTCTGTTATCCATGTCTATTTTACCAGAGAAATTTGCATTTGAGTATTTGAAGAGGCAATCTGTCATCCAAATTGTAGCTTCTTGATTGAGAGGGCAACGCTTATGAAGCTGCACACCTGCTTTACTCAGACATCTTTTGCATGATTCATGGCGCCTGTCCTCCCAAATAGGCCAACATTGTGCTAGCGCATATGCATAAGTATTTTGTTCTGTTATAAACTCAAATGTGCCACTGAAGACTGCAATTTGTGATTTTGAATTGGTAATTTCTTCAGATATTACTTGTGGCAGTAAAGTATCCCAACAGAACTTGTAAAACTCATTTGTGCGAAGCATAGGACGTTACTGGATAATATGAACGCGACCCACATAAGTATAACATGAAAGCATTCACTAAATATAGCATATCAGCAGCATCTTCCATATATATTACATCATAAAACAACTGAAAACCGCTACACTAGACATAAGTTAAAAAGAATTGTTACAGCCATTTTCTCTAGCCACCACCCTCGTATGGGAATTGTAGGCAAGTTTATAGCATCGACCCACGGAACGAGATACGATTCCAAGTGAGGTCAACACATTACATGAACGGGATAGGTCTCTCTCAATGGGAAGTCAGTACTGCTCGGTTATATTCCACAATTGCTTGTAGACATAAGCCTGGTAATGCAACACATTACTTGTCCCAAACTGCCCTTTTACAATTGTTTGTAGATGAGGACATATGCCTGGTCATGCAATACTTTGCCGGTTCCGATTGCAGTGACAGATGCATCATCAAAGCGTAGCCACTGACCATTGGTATAAAGAGCATCAGTTGTATAATGCCCCTTCGAGGGCTCTCTCCCGTGATGAGTTATTGTAGCAACAAGTTTGTATTTTCGACCCTGCAGAGGCAAAGTGAAGAAAATAAACAAGAAAAAGAGAAATTATATAAAAGGCAAAAGTAATCTTGAAAATCTGGCTCTGACTACCACAAGGTAATCAAACCATAATTGTTAACTTCAAGACTTATAAGTTACACGAAGACAATAAGGAATATCTTTATTTTCTTCTTTTTTGGTAAAGAACTGAGTATTTCTGGGTCTGCACAATCACTAATGTTTATAGGTCCATACCAGTTTTAACAAAATGGCCAAGTTCCACAGTGATACTACATAGAGATGTAACACAGATTTTTTGTACCAACTCCGATCACAAGATGTCAAGAGGTGAAATAATGCATAAACACACTACGACAATAGACAAATCCAAGAAATTATCAATCAAAACCCGTACAAGGTTATACTACTATATCATATGAACTTATGATTTCAAATATAATTAAAGATCCATCTAGATAAAAGATTTCAAATCTAGGAACTTTCAGTCATATCATATAGTTTCAAACTATTCATTAGAATGCTCTTAATTTCAAATGACTCACTGAACCTAGTCATTTCAAAATATTATAGTTTGTACTAGTAGTTTTAAATTATATCTATAGTTTTTATAATTAATCTATATTATTTTTTTTTTTTTTTTTTTTTTTTTTTTTTTTTTGGAAAGTTTCATTTTGAGAGTAGTTACGTGCCATTCTCAATTCCTTGTATCCTTCACTCATTAAAGTCTTTGCTGCACTCACATATAAATCTTATATAACTTGATTTATACATTAGAATTTTTTTTCCCAGTAAAGCAACTGATTGATAACACACCTGCAATTTCTGAAAACAAAAATTATAAGTTGTCTAATAGCCAAATACAGCTCAAGAACAAACGTGTAAACCGGAAAGAAAAAAATAATAAAGAACAAACACATAAACATGGAATTGGTAACAGAAAGGAGTAGGATAGGCGTGTCATTATTTCCGCATAATAGAAGAAATATGGGTCACTAGATAAAAGTTTAAAATAATAACTTAGATATAAAAGAGCATCACCTCAGTAGTTGGAGAAACAAGCAATTCACGACCCAACACCAACTCAAGTGGAAAATGCACAGGCTTATGCAACTTAGTGCTTCCTTGGCTTCCATAACCAAAACGCATCAAGTGCAAGATCATTATCTTTGAAAGTGTCTGTATCTTTATTGATTTACTAGCACTTACAACACCAGCCTGAAAAGCGATGATATACATAAAAGTCAAACAACAGTTAACATTATTTGTAAGAAAACAAACTATGCTTGAGGTTGATATTAATTTTTTAAAAAAATAAAACTATCATAAAACCTAGACTGTGGCACATAAGTATTTCAGACGCACTACCTTTAAATTCAAACAATTTTATTCTGGGTAGAAGTATGCATCAAAAATTAAAAAATAACCATGACCAAGCAATCTGTTCAAATTTGATTATACAGAATACAAGGACAGAAAGGGTGACACATTACAACTACACCCAAAACTAAGCAACAACAATAAGTCACCAAGAGAGAGAGAGAGAGAGAGAGAGAGAGTATACCTTCCCAGCTGCTGATGTTCGATACCCCTCAAGAGTTTCTGGTGCAGAAAACAACTTGAGTGCATCCTCGATAGTACGAACAGCTTCAGGGTAAATATCAAGGTGGAGCAATAAAAATGGTTGAACAGTAGCAGAAGCTTTATTTCCTGCTTCACAAAAACCAAACTAACACATAAAACTCATGATAGAATCACTACTGAGGCGGAAAAAAAAAAGAAAAAAAAAGAAGGCAGAGTGCACCAAAATAAAAGTAGCTCAACTCTACTAGCAAACTAATCTGCAATTACTTATTTTTTAAATATCTTCTATAACCATATGCTGACAAATGATCCCAGCAGTTTCTTCTGTTTATGCACTAGCAAACAGAAGTTCTGGTTATTCATCCAAATATTTATTAACGAGCAAAGGTCAAGTCCCTCGAGTAGATTAAGATTACATTTGTCTACAAATATAATTAAAATTTTCTGATGTGGAATTCCTTTACGCTTAAGTACATCCTCTAGAATGCCAAATACTGCATCTAACTTACAACAACACAAGAACCATGAATTCTTGCTAAAACTCAAGAATCGTAGATAATTAAATCTTTTTATCAATTCACATGCACACAGGAAAAGGAGCCAAAAGTCCATATGACATTAAGAAGCTGACAATAAGGGAACATCATATGGTCAAACTGTATCTAAATTTCAAATTTTCAAAAAATAAAATGTGAATCAACTGTAAAATTGTCTACCTCTTTGAATTATGAAGAAAAAAATGAACCTCACAGCCTCAAAATGCAAGTGTGAACAGCAAGAATTTGGAAGTACAAAGATATATCTAACAAAACTGTTAGACATTTTAAAAACTTAAACAGCCATGAGAATAATGCAATCCCCACACCTCTTGCCTTCACCACACTTTTCAATTGTCCTCCAAAAATATCGCTTAATTCTGAAGGAACAAAACTCTGTGTCCTGGTTACTGCAGATGTATTCTTAGGGCCAACCGTCTCCCATTCATCTTCTTCTGCAGAAGATACTAGAGATGATTTGCGCCCATTAATACTCGAGGGCTGTCCTTCAAGCTTAAGTAATTCATCATGCATCTGATCCATAATGAAGCTAAGGAACTCTTGAGCATCTTCTTGTCTGAAAAACAAAAATAGTTTCACTAGACAAATTAAAATAGAAAGTAGAATATAGACATGCTGACATAGATATTTACACTAGACAGAGAAGAAACTAAACAAGCTACTTATTTCTAATGCAAATTTAACCCTTTGGTAATTACTCTTGAGGTGTTCTAGGTTTCTTCTTTCCTTGGTCCATGAAAATATTGGCGAACTCAGAATAATACAGAAGATTGTTAACCTATTTGTTACAACATTTTACCAATCACAAGTTAACTTCTAAAATATCCCAGTCTAACCCATTATTTCACATTAAATGGGTTGCAACCGGTGTAATAAACCACAAACAGATAAATAAATTGGAAAAAAGTGTAACATGTTTTCAGAAACTAAACAATTTAAGTGGACACACTGTAACTGCAGGTATTTTAGACATGAGCTATGTCAGGCAGTGGCACTTTTTCAAGCCATCAGACAAATTGTAAAGCATGGGAATTATCAATCAAGCCTAATAATACTGATGGAAAACCATTACCGATCAATACAAGATTTATGAGAATCACAAAGTAACAAAATTGCACTACATGTCTGAACTTTCTTGTTTATTTGGAAATAATGAAAAGATATTAACTTAAGGAAAGAAAGGAAACAGTGCATAAGGGATTTAAAAGAAAAAAAGTGGCAGAGAAGGACCACTTTTGTGACTACAAATCTTCATGTGTCTAAATCTTTTTGCAATGATTGTGCCTTAAAATTTCAGCCAGCAATACCATCAAGGATTAAATTTGCAATAAGATTGCTCAACATAGAAATAAAAAATACAAAAACTAGAACAGAAAATTATTGACCCAGATCAAATACAAACCTTGGCCTGCCCGAGATGCTAGTTGGTACATCTGGAGTAAAATTTTTAAGAACGCCTTCAAACATGGCAGGGCTAAAAGGCCTACCAGTCACAAGAACACTTGCATCTTTGTTCTTTGAACTTGAACCACTAGGCATGTCAAATTCAGAGACGAACTCTGCAAATGCACCCAATGTTGGATAGCCAACCTAATAAATTCAAATTCAAATGGGCAACATATTAGTTAAGTGATTAGCCAGAAAAAGAACGAGCATTAGGCAAGGTAGCTTCCCATTTTCTGAGATCAGCAGTCCAAATAAATTTTGTTATTTGCAAATAGCAATCTACTAAAACCACATAAATGCAAAGTAATCAAACAATCAAACAAACAAAAGAAACCTTAGGCACTTTGCGAGTTCTCAATTCCTGCAGAAGCTGAACAAAAGGAGAACAGGATAGAAGAGCCTGTAGTGTTGCATTGAGAAAGCACAGATTCCCTGAATTGATTAAACCACGAGGCAACAAGACTGTAGAAACTGCAACAGGCCCATTCAAACACTTCTGTAGTTCCCCCTTTACCTTAGAAGCTGATAAATCATCAACACAACCATTCTGCTCTCTGTTCTGCAATTCCAGACTTGAAAATTGATTGGAGAGACCACCTTCGTTATTGGATAAAGGTAATGAAGCTACATCAATATTATCCTTTGTCGCCTCTTTCACACCATTACTATGGGCAGAACCATTTTTATAATTATCAGTACATCCATTCTCTGTAGGAGTAGTTAAAGATGCTGGTAAACTGTCATTTGCTGCCTGTACAGCCTCCACTTCATTCTGCTTATTAAGTGAAGTGAAAGGCTGAACTTTGCTGAGCCCTTTCACAGAATTTTGTGGTCTGCTTGATTCACCATTAGATTCACCCGAAGATATTTTAGTAACAAAATTTATAGACCCAAACTGCAAAATATTCTTTTCCACAGGCTTTTCAGCCTTCCCAGGTGATTGCTTTTGCAGCAATGACCTGGTCTCGTCTTCAGAGAATGACCCAAAAACGAATAGCTGCAAATAAGGAATAACAACAAAATTTAGCAGGTTTTATAGCACAAGGAAGAGAAAAATCTCATGCCAATTAACATTCATAAATCACATAATAAACCATAAGACTAGAACGGTGCAAAATATCCTACTTGATGCTGAAACAGCAATGATAACAACAAATCTACTTCTGCATTATTACTCAACAGCTAATTTAAGGCCTAGTGAGGTAAAGCAGTGTTATAATGGAATAGCCATTGCCACCACAATAAATTCCCACACCAAATATCCATCATAAAATGGAACTGAAAACACACATCACAAACGAACCAATCCATAGAGCAAAATCAATCAGACCAACAGAAGTTTCATCCAAGCATGAAGTAATTCACAGTTACAATACCGAAATTTCCAATCTCTCTAATTACACTTCACAAAACCAGTCACAGATTAGTAAAATTATCCTCCTCAAATGAAAACCATACAAAAAGACAAACTAGTTAATAACAAATACAAAACTCACCTTAGAATCACTCATTTTGCGCACAGAACCGAATTGGAAATCCCAGAAACACCTAACGAAAAGCACGAATTTTTCCTGTGAGAGGATTGAGAATGAGGAAGACGTATGTGAAAAACGTCGGAACCGAAACCAAGAATTAGGGTTTTGTAAGGCCCTGAAGAAGCAGAGGAGAAGAGAAAGACGTCGATTGAAGACATGAAAAGAGAGGGAACTGAGAGATTGTCGAAGGGAGAGAGCATTTAACGGAGAAACCCTCTCTTTCACCTTCAAGAACCCCCTCAACAAACCCTAACATCGACTGCAGAGAGAGAGAGAGTGCTGCTTAGGTTTATGTTTATGGGTCGGTACAGGAATAGGTTTCTTTGTTGCGGTTCTTTAGATTTAGGATGGATATTTTTAAAGGAAATTTTTTAGAGGCTTTTAATAAAAAGCTAAAAACAAAACTGATTTCAGGGGTAAAAAAAAACAATACAAAAACATAAACAACTCTGTCATTTTTAAGTTCAAATCTCCCTCTCCACAGTTTAAATTAAAATAAAGTAGAACGTGTGTTTGAATAAAATAAAATAAAAATTGAGCATATTTAGACCAAAATTTTCTTTTTCTAAATACAATTATTCATGCCAACGAAGTCTAGCATAATGAAAAAGGACATTGACTTGTAGACCGGTCTCCTGTTCGAACTAGAGATGACAAAAATCCCCATGGGGACAGGTCCCGAACCCTAACGGGGGGAGATTTAGGAGGAAATTTGGAGACAGGTACGGGAATCCCCGAATTTTAAATTCTCGGTCAAAGATAGGTCGGGGATGGTATTGTTATCCCCATCTCCGAACTTGACTCGACAAGGGATATTTATTTTTTATTAATAAATATGTATTATAAAACAATAATTAACTTCTTTTCAAATAATTTTAGAAAATTAATGCATTCATTTCAATTAACTATTATGGAGTCGTTCTTGCATGCGGCATTCATTTCAATTGCATGTCTATCTCTCGATTTTCCAAATAAAAATGTACAGGTTTGCAAGTTGTATGGGATATATTAAGAGATATCCAATACCCATTTTTGGCACTAAAACTATAAATAAACCCTACACCATTTAATTTATATAAACACACCCAAAAAATAACAGCTGACCCTAATAAATTTAATTTTAATTATTAAATTACTTTGATACCCCATTAAGTGTTTTGGGCTTTTTTATAAGGTTTTTGAGTTGGGTTTGTTTTAAGAAATCAATGACAGTTTTATAATTTAAAAAAAGTTACAAGCCTTTTTGTTATGTTGTAAATGAGCTTTGGGTGTGTTTCTAAAGTTCATTTCATATAGGTTTTTTTTATAATTTGGGCTTCTATATTGGGTTTTATAGTGAATCTCCCATATATTAATAATGTAGTGTTGATCAACATCTAACAGGCTTTTTTTAAACTATTTTTAATAGGCTACATTTTATTTGCATAGATGCAGGTTTCTAATTATTCAACCAACATTAGGAAAATATTTAGTGTAGTATATATGGATTAGTTGTTCAACAAATAAATAGGGGATTCGAGGCGGGTTTGGGAGAGTCCCCCGATGAGGACGGAGACGAGGACGGGGATAGGGGTGGGGACAGGGGAGGGGATAGAAACTAGGGACGGGGATGGTATTGCCATTTGTCATCCTTAGTTCGTACCCTCATGACACCTTGATAGTGAATGTGTCAGAAAACTCATTCCCCTTGTGGACTTGTAGCTCAGTTTCGTTTGCAAAAAAGATTAGATGGGAAATAATTTCTCATGTCTTTCCCAAGGGTTAGGAAATTGAAGATTCATTTATCATGTTTGGTAATCCTTGGAAAGTAACCAGGAAATACCACTTTATTTTCCAATTATACTAATATGAAATCAAATAAAAAAAAAAGAATGCATTTAATGCTATATTGTAATTTTAAATTGTTCATGGGGACAAAATGGTCATGAAAAATGTGCATTTAATGTTTGGCTCATTGTTCCAAACTTTCCCATGAGGAGGAAAACAAAACCCAGGGGGAGAGGAGGGCTTCAGTTCCAACCGCTAGGCTTGGTGGCTGTGAGGAGGTTTCAGCCGTGAAACCTTGCTATGGTGCAACGGCGTGAGCCACTAGGCTCTTGGCTAGGTAGTCGTGATGTGGGAGGCACAGATTTGTCACGGATTGCATCATTGTGGTGGCTATACTCCTCGTAAGTCTATTTCCAACCATGATTGACTGGAACAAAGTGTAGAAATGGTTTTGGAGCATGCGTTGAGTATTAACTCGCACTCTCAATGAAAGCACCAAATTGTGAGAGTGATTTTCCTCCGTAGAGAATATTCGTCTTGGGATTCCTTCTTCTTGTGTGAGAGAGGGAGAAAGTAGCGGCTAGGGTTTGAACATACCTCTTGCCTTATGCGTGGCCATATATTTATAGGAGCCTTGGTAGCTAGGGTTTCGGAAGAATAATTCCTCACATATAAAGGAGTTATTTTCCATAACTTGGAGAGATTGAATCAAATTAGGGATTTAATTTAGAATCAAATCTCCAATTATGGTAAGAATCCCTAATTCAATCAAACAATCCCCAAATAGATAGAATTAATTATTCTACCTAGGGTTTGCAAAACATTTGCTTCCCCAAACATGATAATATTTTTTTCATTTTAGTTTGAAAACCTATAAAGCTTTTTAAAGTTAATAAAAAGTTGAATTAGTTTAAAAAATACATTAAAAATTCAATTAAACTAAAATATATCATTAGAAAAAAGAAAAAAAAAAACTTGAAAAGAAAAAGAAAATAAGGGCGTAGTCTAGTCAGGAAAAGGAGGAGCTATTCAACTGGTGGAGAAGTGGGAATGACCATTGCGGAGTTGTAAGGCTGCAAGGGCTTTTAGTAAAATGTAGTGCAAGTTGGGAATTTAAGTATAAAGAAAAAGAAAAAAGTGAAGTAAAAAAGAAATTAACGTAGAGTAAGGGTAGAATAGGAAAGCGAAAGGAAAAAATTAATTAAAAAATGATTAAAAAGTAAAAGGGAGTGTAAGTAGAAAAAAGGGAAGTGAGAAAATCAGCTCCAAAAAATTAACATGCAAAGCCTCAAATAGTTTTCTTTTCATCCATCTTACACTATCAAAATATGAGACCCAAGCTTTAATAATTATTGTTTAACAATTATTTAAACCTTTTTTTTTTTCATAACTTTTTTAGTTAATTTTATTTATATTATCTTAAATTATTTTTAACAAATATTTTTAACCTCAAAAGTAAAAATATTGTTTAAAACAAAAAAAAAAAAAAAAAAAAAAAAAAAAAAAAAAAAAAAAATTATAAAACAACAAAAACAAATAAAAAAAAAAAAAAATAAAACAATATTGAAATTAAAAGTGAGTACCGCAGCATTAAACTAAACATCAAACACAACTTAGAGCATCTATAATTATATTCCCCACTTTCCTTTGTTGAATTAATCTTATTCTCAAATTGATTAATTGGGTTCTCCCGTATTTTTTAAGTGTGCATAGTTGTTGCAAGTTTTCTTCTGCCCCTTTATTTTTGGGGGAGGTGGGTGCCATGGAGCAAGAGGGAGGTAGATGTGGGGTCATGGGGCGGATGCAAGTGGAGGTGCAACTCCGATAGACATGGCAAACAAGTTGTGTTTACTGTGTTTACTGTGTTCATGTCAACCCACCCTTTTTTTAACGGGTTGACACGACACAACTCATTAAGTAAACGGGTTGACACGACACGACACGACCCCTTAAAATAACAAACGACATGACACAACCTGTTTCACCCATTAATAATAAAAAAAATTGAAAAAAAAATATATTAAAAAATAAAAAGAGGGCTGAAAAATAAGAAATAAAAATTCAACCAAAGAAGAGTTGGGGAGGGGAGAAGGTGTTGAGGCCTAAAAAATCCATAGTTCGCCCCAAATAAATTCTCGGCCCAATGCGATACCTTACCGAGAAGAAACCCGATTTGGACACGCGAAAGTTCATCATATGCGCTTGCACACATGCCACGCCAAGCAAATAAGCAACACGCCACGCTACAAGCTTAAGTGGGCCCAAGCCACTCAAATGCCCGGGGCTTGCTTGAGTGAGTTGTGGTATGGATGGTAATAAATCGACATGAGGCTCATTGATGGGCCGAGAAATGAAAGTCTCGGGTTGCTTGGGAGCCTCGGGACTCAAGCCCATTTCTTAGGCCCAAACATATGGGTGAGCACAAAAGAGGAAATAACCCATTAGCTTAACCAAATTAGCCCAACACCTCAACAAAAATAGTCCAACACTTGTTGAGGTTAGCCCATTTATTTTGACAAACCAACACATTATCTTAGAAGGCCCATACAATTAGAAATGAGAAGCAGCAAAAGCATCAGCCCCTTGTTGAAAAAACAGAAGCCACAAAGAGAGCAAGATGTCCACATATGCAGAGCTGCTAGAAGGCTCCAGCACATGGGAAGGAACAATTTCCAAGCACAAAACACCCGAAGAACCAAGGGATATTAACGTGCAAGCTGCCAGGAAGAGAAGCACCCTTCGAATCAGCATACATACCCCAATTCCTTTCCTCATCAGACCTGGCCATGGAAAAAGGAAAGATAGAAAAGAAGGAGATGGCTGGGAATGGAAGTCTCCCACTGAAATAACTGCGGGAAAGGGGGCCTTAAGCTCCTAAAAATATATGCTAGGCAGATGAAATTTCACCAAGATAGGAAAAGTCAAGGGAGGAGATGAGAAAGGAAGGGAAAAGCTTGACCAAAATGGGTAGAAGCCATTAGGGTTTCTTGGGAAGTGATGGTTTCCAACGGCTATAAAATAAGGCCTCTTCTACCCAACGAAATCAACCCACACCTAGAGAGCAAGCTTCCTCTCTTACCTGCAAAAATCCAGCAATCTCGTGCACTATTCACTCTCTTTCTCCATTTTCTTCTTCTGGCAGACTACTTCCACATCTAACAAGCTGCCAGAAGAACATGGTTCTTTCTTTCTCTCTTCTTAGCCAAATCAGCTTACAAACTTCTTCTTCCTCACCTTAAACACTCCCCTTTCTCCTTAGGAAGCCATATTTTCCTCTTTGGTGCTAAACTTATGTTGATTTTGCTTCCATGCCACAAGCCTCTCATGCAAAGCTAGAAAATTTATCTGTAAGCATCAAGAAATCATCTATAAGATGTTGTTATTTTCATTGGTGAAGGTAACCAATGTGTTTCCTAAGGCATCTCTGTCCTTTCGAAGCATTCTTGGGGCTTGATCTTTGAACTCAAGCTCAATGGGCAATTTCATCCATTTTTTCTATTTATGGCAGTCCATTTTTGCTATTTGTGTAGGGGCTTTTTTCTTCCGGCAGCTACTACGGGCTTGGGCTGCTGTAAATAGCAAAAATAGATGAAATTGCCCCTTGAGCCTGAGTTCGAAGATCAAGCCCCCAGAATGCTTCGAAAGGACAGAGATGCCTTAGGAAACACCTTGATTACATTCACCAACAAAAATAACAACAGCTTACAGATAAATTTTCTAGCTTTGCATGAGAGCAAAATTGTCATGAGTTTAGCACTGAAGAGAAAACTAAGTCTTCCTAAGGGAAAAGGGGTATTAAGGTACGAGATGAAGAGTTTGCAGAAAGGTTTGGCTGAGAATAAGAAAAAAGAGAAGAAGATGGCTTGAGTGCTTTGTCCGGCAGCTTGACAGAGACTCTGTCAAGTATCAGAACAGCTTGCCAAAAGGGAAAACTAAGGGAAAAGGATGGGCTGAGCACGGAATTGCTGGGTTTTGGGAGTAAGAGAGGAAGCTTGCTCTCTGAAATGTGAGTTGTTTTGGGTAACTTTCCAGCAGCTTGACAAAAGCTATGTCAGACTGTAGAATGACATGCCATAAGAGATAATGGGAGGAAATGAAAGAGTAGGGCACGAAATTGCAGAGATTTCAGAGTGAGAGATGGAGCTCGCTCTTTAGATGTGTGTTGTTGATAATGGGTAGGAAATGCCTCTTTTTATAGGCGCTGGAAGCTACTTTTTCCCAAAAAACCCTAAGGGCTTCTATCCAATTTGGCCAAGTCTTTCCCTTACTTTCTCCCCTCATCCCTTCAATCATCCTATTTTGGTGAAATCTACTCTGCCCATTTGCACAAAATCAGGGATTTTTGGGAGCTCAATGCCCTTTCCCGCAGGTGCCTCAAAACTCCCATTTTCAGCCATCTCCTTCCTTTCCTTTCTTCCTTTTTTTATGGCCAAGTCTGATTAGGGAAAGAGAATGGGTATGCATTAGGGGTGGGCATTGGAACCGCAAAACCGTAAAACCGAACCAAACCAATCCGGAAAAAACCGAAAAAAACCGTGTTGACCGAAAAAGTCAAAAACCGAGAAAAATCCAAACCGAACCGGTTCAGACCGGTTCCGGTTCCGGTTTTCCACCCTTAGGAACCGGTCCAATCCGAACCGGTCCAATAAAATTAATATATATATTTTTATATTATATTTGAAATTATATAAATATTTTTATACTTGGCTAAGTTTGATTGGGTGTCTTTGTAATTTTATATGCTTTATTAATGTATTATATAATGTGTATGTTTGACTAATGTTTTAATGGGTTTATGTTTTTTTTATGTAGATATTATGAGTTCATCCACACCTAGCACCATAGCTCCAACTACTTTTCAATGTTAGGAGGAATTTAATGAAGTTGGATTGAATTTGGGTTGTAATGTATATTTGAATTGAATTTGGGTTGTATTTGGCTAGTAATTTATTTTGGAACTTATTTTGTTGAAGTTTGATTGAATTTGGGTTGTAATTTATATGTTGAAGTTGGATTGCATTTTTGTTGAAGTTTGATTGAATTTGGGTTGTAATTTATATGTTAAAGTTGGATTGAATTTGGATTGCATTTTTGTTAAAGTTAGATTCATTTTGATGCGTTGAAAGCTTGATAGAACCTCAAATTTGAGGTATGTTAGTATATAAATTCATTTTGGGCAGGTTTGTTTATTATTATATTTAAATAAAAAAAAAAAAAAAAAAAAAAAAAAAAAAAAAGAACCGTTGGATTCGAACCGGAACCGGATAGGTCCGGTTTGGTTCGGATTTCTGTATGGATATTGAGCAGAACCGGTCCAAACCGAACCGGATTGCACTATTGGATCAGGTTCCATTTTTCTCCAAAAACCGGTCCAAACCGAACCGTGCCCACCCCTAGTATGCATGCTGGTTCAAAGGGTGATCTGCATTCCAATATTCCTTAGTCCCTTGGGTGTCTTTTGCTTGAAACTTGCTCCCTTCCCATGTGCTGGAACCTCCCAGCAGCTTTGTATAATGGATCTTCAGACTTCCCCTTCGTGGCTTTTGTTTTTCCAGCCAAGTGCTGGGGCTTTTGTAGCTCATTATGGTAACTGTATGGGCAAAGGTGATTCATTAAGTAAGTGGGCTTTCTTTATCAAACGTTTGGTTTTTTTGGTTAAGTCAATAGGCTATTTTGGTTGGACTATTTTTGTTTGGAGTGATGGGCTATTCTTTTCTCTTTTGTGCTCACCCACATGTTTGGGCATATGAAATGAGCTTAAGTCCCGAGGCTCCCAAGCAACCCGGGACTTCCATTTCTCGGCTCATCAATGGGTCTCGTGACAATTTATTACCATCCATATCGTAACCCACTCAAGCAAGCCCCGGGTATTTGAGTGGCTTGGGGCCTACTTAAGCTTGTGGCGTGATTGGGTGCGGAATAATAATTCCTTGCTTGGTGTGGCGTGTCGCTTGGCATGCTTCAAATTTATCGTCCTTGAAGAGGGACATGGTGCTTAGTTTAGCATGGGCTTTTATTTTATAATATTATTTCAGTCCTTAGCATGACAAATTATTTATTTAGCATGGCATGTGGACTATGACTTGTATATGACGAGCCTTTGTGTACTTCGATATGTGATTTTCTTAATACAATATCATATTGGACAGAAAATTTATTTGAGCCTCAACAGAAGGAAGGGAAGAAAAAAAGAAAGACATATAAAACTACAAAATTGCTATACTCTTAACGGGTGAAAACAAGTATTCGAGAATTCACATGACACAACCTGTTAACTTGATTGGTGGCTAATGGGTACTCCGTTTTCAACACAACCCGTTAAGCCCCAATTCATGTCATGTTAATGGATCGTATACAATATTGTTTGGTCTAGATTGCGGTGAGTGTTGGGGTCTAGGGTTATTAGGGCATCTCAAAGTGGTGTTTTTTTGTTTTTTTGGGGTTTAAAGTTTAATTTACCCCAAAGCTATATGATACGAAAGAAAGAGTTTAAGGACCATTAGAGTGAAAAATTTGGTTGGAGGACTAAAAGAGAATTCGGGCATAAGTTCATGGAAATATTTTTGCTCACTACTTTAACCCAAGGTGTACCCTCATAATCCTTCTCACCACTTGACACCTGTCTATTGACATAATCATAATTAACTCTTTGCTTCATATTTATGGAACTATGATTATGTTTATGGGCACGTGTTAAGTGTTTAGAATGGTGGTGAGAATACACATTGAGTTAAAGTAATCATTTGGATCAAAAACCCAAATTCATTATAGGCCTCATAATCTACGTGAACGGCCGTGATTATGTAATGTAATCCAGGATGGATTCGTATTCCTTGAGGATTTGAACCAAAAAAAAACCCTGTATTTTAATTTCACTTTTTTCTAGGGTAAATTGCCGAAATGCCCCCTGAACTTGTACCTAATTATCAATTTACTCCCTGACCTTTTTTTACAAAATTAAGGACTTGAACTAAATTTCATTCTCAATTTCCCCTATACCATCCAAATTCTCAACATTCCATCCAATTTTCAGTTAAATGATTAAAATATATATTATTAATAAAAAAAAAAAAAAAAAGAAAAAAAAAAAAAAAAAAAAAAAAAAAAACAAAAACCCCACAGCCATCACCTTTCTTCTCCACCATCGCCATCAAACCTCTCCTCATCTCATCAACCCAAAACAACTCCTCCCCATCCCCCATCTTAGCCACTCCAATGCCAATCCAATCCTTGATTGAAATCACAGCAGCCAGTGACCTAGCCTCTTCCCTACCCGCAACCCACCCTACATTCAAAAAACATAAAAGGAAACCCTATCCCTACCCACAAACCCAAACCCATTCGCGCCCTTTCCCCTATGATTTTTTCCCCCGTAGTCTTAAAGGTCCATACCTCTTCACCTTACAAGTTCATTGCCCCTTCACCCAAAATCTCGACCCCAAATTGCACAACTCATCAATGGATTCAAGATATGAATAAATGGGGTTGTTGGAGAGTGGGGCTTGATGGTTTTGGTCGCAGAGAGAGAGAGAGAAGCAGAGTCGCAGAGAGAGGGAGTCGTAGAGAGAGAGAGTGAAGAAAGGGTTTGGTTGCCGAGAGAGAGAGAAGAAATGATGGATGGGTCCCAGCCCTCTGTTTATTAAAATGATTTTTTTTTCATTTTATATGTCATACTATTTTATTTTACAGTATTGAATTATTTTTAACATATGAAATGACCAATTTGCCCTCATATTTAACGACAAATTGGATGAAATATTGAGAATTTAGACGGCAGGGGGGAAATTGAGAATAAAATTTAGTTCGAGTCCTTAATTTTCTAAAAAGAAGGTCAGGGGGTAAATTGATAATTAGGTAAAAGTTCAAGGGGCATTTCAACAGTTTACCCTTTTTCTAATTTAGTGTTATTTTTATTTATTTATTTAGTTTTCAATTCTTGAAAAGGTAGCGTGATTAGACTGTAGCAGGAGCTGTTTTTCAAACTTTATTTAAAAGAAAAGAAGAACTTGTTTGCTAAATTCTCAGTGAAGCTGTAAAGTCTCACATGACGTAAAAGTAAAACGACCATCATGACTAACCACCACCTTCACCACCACCTCCACGCCCCGCTCCGCTCAACTCCGCAGTCTTCTTCCTCCTCGTCATCTCAGACTTTCACATCGAAGCTCCTCCTCCTCCTCACTCTCCTCCCTCTTTCGCTCGCAGCCTTAGCCTTCATTCTCCAATGGCGCGGTGGCATCCCCGACCCCACCACTCGGTGGTCCCCACCTGGTTCCCACCACCTCTTCCCCGGCATGGACGCCTCTCCTCTCTCCTCCGCTGTTGTTCACTCCACGCCGTCCGATTGCCTCAGCCTCGGCCGTTCAGCCTCGCCTTCGTTTCCCTACTATCAGAATTGGAAGTTTGATTCTGTGTCCAATTTGAGACCAAAGGTGTGTTCTTTTTTCTTCTTTCTTTTTGGATTTGAGGTTGATCTGGTAATGGGTTTTGCTTGTTATAGATTTGGGTTTAGTGGGTTTTTGCTGCTGTATTCGAAAATTCTGAGTGGTCGTACAGTTCGATGCCAAAAGCTTTGTTACTTTGTGAAATTGGCGACCGTCGTCTGATCTGTATCTGGGTTTAAGATTACGGGTTCTAGATTTGTTTTGAGGCTGTTTATATGTAGTGAGCATTTTTTTTTATAGAAAGGATAAAGGAGTTGTGCCAATCTTGCATTTCACTTTTTGCGATAAGTTTAGCTCTTTTAGTTATATTTTGGTGCGATGCTGTTTGGCTAATAGATCCTTTTTCTCATGCTGGTATGCTTATGTTTGAAAATGGATCGTCTGCCCAATTGGTGCTAATGTTCTCAGTTCATGGGTCATAGGTGTTTTCTTTATAGTTTTTTGGTTTTTCATTGATTGGTTGAACAGTTTTTGGTGTGTACTAGGTGTTAAGAATTCACACACAATTCCTAGCCCGAAGATCGCAAAAACAACCAAGAGAATAAAATGAAGAAAACAATCAATCACACAACACACAAAGCTAATGAAGACGATCCGGCAGAAAGATAGTAAAATTACAATGAAGAGGAGATAGCCTCTTCCCTCACACTCACAAGTAATTTCACTCATCTCAACCCCAGTACACCCAAGAAACTCACTCTCACACTCCCATAGTTTTTTCTCTCACTCGGTATGCCACAACCCTATGGGCAAAATCTTCAAAGCCACTAGACATCATTTGATCACCCCCTTTGTTCACACACCACGGAGACTAACACCATAAGGATATACTTATAGTCTCCCTTTCAAAACCCTAGTTTCACTAGAGCAAGTTACCCAAGCTCAATAGAACTAGGAATCCAAAAACATACCCTAATAGGACTCAAAATCGAAAAAGGAAACATAATCATGCGCAGGGCTGACCTGTCGCCAGTCGGTTTGCACCGAAAGTGACCAAACTTTAATACCGACTGGTCGCCCTTTGTCTCCGACCAGTCGTCGGTTATCCTCCATGCCTTTGACAACTAATTTGTGCCGCTATCCCAACACTAGGTGTGATTTGTTGGTGGTGCATTGGTCAAGCAATAGTTTTGTTGCGGAGAATCTAGGAACTAGCAAGTTTTTGTTATGAATTTTGAATTCTCTCTTGTCAGACTCGAGCTTTTGATTTTTCACTTGAACCATGGACCCTTGGATTGTTAAATTGTTTTTCAGAGCTAGTTAATGCAGTAAGTTGCTTCAATAATTTGAGGCAAAGCAAACACAGATCAGCTAAAGCTAGAACAGAGGTAACCAAAAATAAATAAAAAACCAAAAGCTTACAATTGAAGTGAATTTTGTTGCAGCATAGTAGCTGCTCTTCACTGGAGATTACATATGGTGCTTGAGTTTTCATATTATCATCTCAATCATGAAGCACTTTCTGTTAAAATGCCATGAAATGTGAACCAACTTCATCCATATTCTGGAAACCATGTGAACCAACTTCATCCGTATTCTGGAAACCTCAACTTAACCTTTCTTTCCAAATAGACTTGCCTGACTTGTTAATAGAAGACACTATTATATATGCTTTAGACTTGCAAAGATGGGTTTTCCTTTTCTTCTTTTGCCCCTCCGAATTGAACCCACCGCGCAGGCCCTGCTCTAGAGATTAAACATTGACAATGGCATGTCAAGTGATTCTGCTCAGCCTAAGAATATAGGAAATATCATAGTTCTTCAAATCATGGAATTTAATGAAGAATTAGCTACAGCCATTTAATGAGTGTTATAAGTGGTTTGATGTATAATCATGAGCAACTTGGGTATTCAAATAGATAAATGTAATGCGATTGATTGTTTCATTGACAACCTGTTCTGCGGACTCGCAGTGAGGGATAACATTGCCGTTTACATATTAGACTTTATATGGTACCTGTATATAGAGTGAATGGTTGGGTAGTAGAATTTGATTATATGAATCAGGTATCATTAGGACTTTCCTGTTCTAGTTATTTTATGACTACTGCTTATTAATATCTGGAAAGCAAACATTTTGGTGGAATGAAGTTTTCCTCTCTTAACAAGTTAGTTTTGTGTGCAGATATGTATTACTACGAGTACTTCAGCTGGCTTAGATCAGATTTTACCATGGATGTTTTATCACAAGGTCATTGGAGCTACTACCTTTTTTCTTTTTGTGGAAGGAAAGGCTGCATCTCCTGAAGTAGCTAAAATTCTGGAGTCCATTCCTGTGAGTTAAAATATATTTCACTCTGACTGCTTATGTTCTTCAAATGCATTTCTACTGTTAGTTCTACTGTGCTTAATGTTGTGAAATTTGTCGAGGATAAATTTTGTGGTACTTTTCAGGGAGTAAAAGTGATATACAGAACAAAACAGCTTGAGGAGCAGCAAGCTAACAGGTTAGTTGATTTTGCCGCTGTTCTTCTTGGACTATATGCTTATTACTAATGTAATCTTATGTTATTATTACGATTCCTGTCAGTTGTGATTAATCTTCTCTATATCTATCTCTTTTGTTGTTTGGTAGATGCACACACACACACACACACACAAAATCCGCCTTTGGAATGGATAACCGCTCTGTGGAGACCCACATAATTCAGATGGCCCCTCTGGCTGTTCAAATTGCACTGAAATAAAGAGCAAAACATGCCTGTTTAGGGCTTAGCTTTCAAGTTTTAACTCCCGAGTTTTGGGCTACTAAAGAGTCCTTAAAATTGAGAGTTAAAATTTAAAACCTAACCTGCAGATTGATTCTGCACCAATAAACCTTTCCGGGAAATGGATCAAAAACTAAAAAATAGATAAGTAAAACATGGCGGTGCTTTTTGAACAGCAAGCACAGCTGTCCAAGTGGAGGTCATATCAGCAGTGCGGTTATCTGCTTCTGAGAAGAATTCTATTTTCATTTTCGCTGAAATCACTTGTATTTTATGCTTCTTGTTTTTGGTACCAACAGCCGAATTTGGAATGAGACTTGGCTGTCCAGTTTCTTTTACAAACCTTGCAATTATGAGCTATTTGTGAAGCAATCTCTCAATATGGAGATGGCTATTGTCATGGCAAGGGTATGAAAGATTTTTCTCATATTACTGGTTCCTATGTTGTTAGTTTTACCTTATGATAATAATAGGTTTTGTTGATTTATTTCTTTTTTATATGCTTGGAACTTTCTCCTGCATACAAAAATATCAGGATGCTGGAATGGACTGGATAATTCATCTTGACACGGATGAGTTACTGCACCCAGCTGGTGCCAAGGAGTATTCTTTGAGGCAGTTGCTGCTTGACGTGCCTAGGAATGTGGATATGGTTATTTTCCCGAACTATGTACGTGAAATTGTTTAGATACTTTTAAATTGTGTGATTTTGGGACATGTAAAGATGATCAAGCATGCTAGTCTTGTTAATTTCTTGTATTGGCTCCTGTTTCTGCCCTGATGCTTTTATTCAGTGATTTAACTAACTGTGCTTATTTTTTTTGAGTAGGAGAGCAGTGTTGAACGCGATGATATTAAGGAACCTTTTACTGAGGTGAATTTCCTCTATCGTCTCTTGCCTTTTTTGTTTGGTTAAATAGACTTCACTATATCTCTAGAGTTCAACAATCAATAGATTGATATTTGTTATTCTATATGGGTCTTTAGATAGTAAAATAAGGTACATAGCATATGTTGCTGCCTGTTCCTTCATCTGCCTATCATAACTTTGAATTTGTGATGAGTTCCTAACCTTATCCTTAGTCTTAGACTTACCATGCTGGAAAACAGTATATTGTTGCCCAGTTAAACTATGCAAGGACAAAGTTGTTAAACACACATGCACACTTGGTGCCGATTTATATAATAGGAAATTTGGTTCACAAATAGTATTGAAATTTGGAAATGTGAGGATCCTATTTTCTTTTCTGAGTCAAACCAATAGTGGTTTATGTTATATTAGTTTTAGGTCCCAAGTCAACCAAATTTTGACCTTTTGGAAAGTCAAAATTGTGGCTTTTTGTATAATTTTATAATCATTTTTGGTGTTTTAGTTTAACTTTAGTTTGAGTTTTCAACTTTGATCTAAAACTAAATGCAAAAAAACATTTCTGATCAATTCCTAATATCAAAAATACTTCTTTACCAAAACCAGATTAGGCCTTTATATAATCCGAATTAATGGATCAGAGACCAGCTATGTTGTTTTAAATGTTTACCCAAGAACGTGAAATGATTCCAATTTGTAATTAAACTTGCTATTACCTTGATCTGCCTTGTTTTCAAATCTAGACAGAAAGCTTTGAAGTTAACGTGTTATTAATTCAATAATGGCATAGTGTTTGGAGATAAGTAGGCAACTGTGGGATTAGGAGAAGTAATATATAGGATATGGAGTGTGCTGCATAAAGATGCGGTAGTCACGAACCTTACTACAAATAAATCTATCCTGGTTGATTTTTGAAAATGCTGCACATCATCTCTATTTTATATTTCAATTAGCATTCATATATGGTCTTTGATCTATGTCTTGCTCTTGTATCTACACAAACAGGTATCCATGTTTAAGAGGAATTATGACCATGTACCAAAAGATACATACTTTGGCATGTACAAAGAATCAACTCGTGGCAACCCAAACTATTTTTGACTTATGGAAATGGGAAGTCAGCTGCTCGAATCCAAGATCATCTCCGTCCTAATGGTGCACACAGATGGCACAATTATATGAAAACCCCAAAGTACTGTAATTTTATATGGAAAGAGTAGTGTTTTTTTTTATTGAACTTATTCATCCCAGTAATCATATTTCTTGTAATTCCTTTTAGTGAGGTCAAATTTGAAGAGGCTGCTGTTCTACACTACACATATGCCCGATTTTCAGACTTGACTTCTAGACGTGATCGGTGTGGCTGCAAGCCAACAAAGGAAGATGTGAAAAGATGCTTTATGTTGGAATTTGACAGATCTGTGAGTTCAATGCTTTGTTTAGATGTTGTTAAACTCTTCCACTTGCATTACAGTATCATCAAGCACTTGATATAACTGGTTAAGTTTATAAAACTAACTAGTTGGTCCATATGGAAGAATTATATAATGTGACCATGATAGGCACTAAGCTATAAAGGGTCCAATATAGAAAGGGAAAGTTCACAAGGGATACTTATACAACTGGTTGGAAGAAATTTGAGGCCTAGGAGAGGGTAATGTGGCAATAAGATGAGTTGCTGTTATTAATCTGATAAGTTCAGAAAAAGTTATGTGAGTCATGGCAATTTACTTCTTGTATGTGGTCATTTTCATTCAAAGCAGTCAAGGAGGCTATTTGGATTAACTTGGGATCTAGTGGTGACAGTCAAGTTTAGTTGTTTATAGAAATAGAATTCTTGAAAATTTGAAGCGCATTCTTATTGATTGAGCTGTTTATTGAATAATTAAAAAGGAATATAGTTGTGTTATTTTCTAACTTCAAGTGTAATCTTACAGCGAGGCATATATGGCATAGTGACTTTCTACTGAAATCATTTAGCAGATTTTGCTAATATTCTACGAATTTGTAAATAGAATTTGGACTTGTCTTTTCCCTTCTATTTCCCCTTTCTTTTGGTAACAATTAAAATAGCTGCCAGGTCTTCAGTGCTTTTTCATTGCATTTCGTTGTGCTAACTCTTTCATATACTAACCAACAATTAGCATTTCAGGCATTCATAGTTGCTTCGACTGCAACCAAGGACGAAATGCTGAAATGGTAAAATCTTCTGTGCAAGTCATTTTGCTTATCTTCATCCTCTTTTAAAATTTGAGTTGTATTAATTCAAATGCCGTATATTTTGGGGAGAACTGTTGGAATTAGCTTACTCTTCATTATTGATAATCCTTTATTGTGAATTAATGTTTGAGCTTGGCTTCTATTCTAGGTACCATGAACACATTGTATGGGATGACAAAGACATAAAATTGAAACTTTTGAGAAAAGGCATTTTGACTCGAATATATGCTCCCATGGTAAGCATGTTTATCAATATTCTTCACCACAAAAAAATTAATTGATAAAGAGATACAAAAGAAATAGCTGGTAACTCATTTACGTTTTTTAATTTTTTTTTTTTTTTTTTTTTTTTTTTCATGATATATCTAGTGCAGAAGACACATTTGAAGTTGACTAGTAATGAAAAATTTACCATAATTGTATTTTCGCATAATGTGATACATTGTAGTTGTATTTTTATTTAATGTGATGGATGAAGTCTAGAAAAGGTATAAGTAGACATATATTTAATTTTTCTTTTGGCTAGTAATGAAAGACTGTCATATCAAGTGTTTATATCATGCAGTTGTACTAGACCTTTTATAATTTCATTTGCTGAAAATAATGTATATTACAATAGATAGGGCGTAAGTGGTTGATAATCAGAGGGAAAGAGAGGAACGAAAGTAAAGGAGGAAGTTAATTTGATAGTGGGAAGTGGGTTATCTTTATCTATGAACTTCAAATAATTCATATTAATTTTTAGCTGCTTATTATATTTGAAAATGATCAACTCATGCTAATAATGTAATTAACAAACTGTAATTAAATTCTGATGAAGATATTTGACAAAGCTTCAAATCAAAACTTAAGGTCGCACAGAACACAATTGAGTTGGTTTTTTTTATTAGTATAGATATATATGTCTGAATAATTTTAAAAGCTATCCCTTGTTGTACATCTCAGGTCATAATACAAGGACTACGGGAGTCGGGAGTGTTCAGCTCTGTTATTGCATCTGCCCCAACAGCTCTCTCAAAAGAAAAGTTTTTGTTGACAATTGATAGTAGCAACTCTTCTAGAGCTACTGCCTCCCAATCCCTCCCATCGAGGAAGATTGGCAGAATTGGAGAGAGTAAGGCTACTATCAGGAAGGCCTTGGAAGTTGACGCAGCTGAATTTGAAGAAGCTGCTGTTCCACCATTGTCGCCACCCGGAATGGATGACAACCATCTCAGTGTACGAGTGTAATAAGGTCTTTTTATTGTGATTGCTTCTTCTTCTTCTTCTTCTTCTTCGTCTTCATAGTGTGAATGGACAGGTTAATAGGTAAGTTTCAAATATAGCTGTAATTATTCTTTTTTAATTTTTTCTTAGTCAAACAGAAGATTCTCATGTGACAAGTGTAGCTAATAGTCAGAAGTTATAAAGATTGAAATTCTACAGATATTTCATTAGACATTGAAATTCTATATGAGGATTTTGTTCACAATTCAATCCATAGACTAATTAAGTTGCATTATTAGCACCGTCTTCATTCTTTATAAAATTATGTATTAACATAAACGTGATTAAGAACCAGGAAATTTTTTAGCTCAAACATATGCAAGAAAAGCTGCATGTCCAATGTTTCATCCAAGCTCCGACCATTTACTTGTTGGTCTAACATCGCTTCTTAGTGGTAGAACTTCAAGTGCATCTACTCACAATCACTTTAGCTACAAGCTCTTTCCTGAAACTCTTAGTATCATTCTAATATATCTTGAATATAGAACTGACACGGTTCAAAACTAGATGCAATGAAAATGGTGAATAATTTCTTTATGACTTTTCCTGATTTAGCAAAACAAAACAAAAAGCAAAAAAGAAAGGAAAAGGATCTAAGTCGAGTCATCCTATTCCAAGTTCACAAAGAATTTTGAAGGGTTTTTGCTAATTTCATATAACCGAGACGTTTTCATCCTCTGGTTCATCCACAGCGGCCCCCTGCTGCACTACAAGAATGGATGCGTTAATTGCAAAACTTGAAGTCAATAATGCTTCCCCGAGAGGCCCCAATTGATCGTCAGTCTGGCTCAAATAATGATCCGAAAATGCCTTAGCCGGTGATGTGCTTCCATGCCGTCTTCCCACTATGTACAAGTCATATTCACCCTCCAACTCCCTTATGAGATTCAGAGTTTGTTCCCAGCTATTCACAGCCTCCTCCAAGAATTGTATGTTGGGGTTGTGCTTGGACTTCAGCCTAAATTGGTCCACGTACAACTCGTCTATTTGCTTCTCCCTCCCACTGTCTTCCATTACCTTTGGATCAGTTTCCTTCTTGTTGTTGCCTTCGTTGTTATTTGGGGTAACGATAAACCGTACAACCTTTAAGTTAACCCTTGGATTTCCTGCCATCCTCCATGCATACGTTAACGCCTCGCGGTCATCTGCCCCTCCGATGAAGAACATGGCGAAGTGGCGGTAGGCCTGGGAGGCATCCTTGTAGGATTCGGTCATATGGGACATACTAATCCCGCGGTCGACAAAAACCGCCACGGAGCACGGGGCCTTTTCGATCACGTTATTGTTGATGCCCTTCAAACTAGGGTTGGCATCCTCCATGGCGCCATCTATATTAGCTTGCATGTGGAACGGGATGATTATGAGGTTGATGCACTTCTCCTCAGCCAGATTGCATATGTCCTCGTGCATGGTGTTGTAGGCAGAAACGGTCGTGAGTGCTTGAACATAAACGTTTGCTCTTCCCTTGGCGTAGCTTTCAAAGGCATTTCTAGAGGTGAATGACTCAGGTTGTGCCTCGGTGTTGGCCCAGGTGTGATTTGTGTTAGCTTTACAAGCGTCATGCACGATGAGCATGGCCGAAGCTTGGCCGGTGAGCTCCACAAGTTGGACGGCGAAGACGTAGATCCAGGATTGTCGGGATGGATTTGAAGCCTCAAGGAGGTCTACAATGCCGGAGACGTTGGTGGAGGTGTGGGTATATGTGAGGATTCGAAGCTCGGTATCAGGTTCTAAGCTTTGTATGTTCCTGATTTTGTATTGTGCGGAAGCCCTTGTGGTCTTGTAACCCAGGGCTAGGAAGGGTCCAACAGGAACCGTCATTAGCCAAATTGCACTCATCATTACTGCAAACGTTCGGTGGTCCAAGACCTATAGACATGATGCACCATATAGATATGTAATTAATTAACACTACGATGTTGTCAAATTATGAATTCGAACAATTGATTCATCAAGTAAATTCTTGTCTGAATATGTGTTGTTTAGAATCATATATATAATATAACTTGGAAAAATAATGTTTGATGTTGTATTAACTTGTTAACTAGTTTATGAAATAACGAGTGAGGTAGAATAGTACTTACTTGTAGGTCCTTAGCAGAGTTGAGAATGATGAGTCCCAATAATCCTTTAGTGTTCATGAGTATCCCAAGAGTAAAACTGTCCCAAGGTTGAATTTTGTGGATTAAGGCGACGAGAAAGGTGGTGAAAATCTTAGAAGCGGAAGACAGAACGATAACCACCATGACACGGCACGCGTGAGCTGCACCGTAGGGCACTTGGTTCTCAACGTCCTCATAAACAACATGCCTGAAATCGGTCCTTAGCCCGACGAACAAGAAGAAAAGGGGCATCATGAGCAGATACACATAGTTTTGGATCCTCTGCATCACCATCTTCTTCATCTCTCCCTTCTTGGGCATGATGGCTCCCAACACGAAAGGCCCGACGATGAAGTGGGACCCACATGTTTGCGTTATGAACCCGAATATCACGACACCGAACAGGACAAAGCACACGTTGAGGTCCATATCGTTATTGTTATTCTTTTTGTTCTCGGTAAATTTGCAGCGGATTGCCCACAAGAGAGCAGGCCGAAGAACAAAAACACAGACGACTACGAAGGCCACGGTGGTCGCGAACCCGCGCCACCCGGCCGCAGTCATTACCGACATGGTCACGACAAGAAGAAACCATGAGCATAACTCAGCAATGACGGCGGCGGATAGGGCAAGCCGACCGACCTCAGAATGGAGGAGTTTGAGGTCGGCGAGGATTCGAGCTAGGTCGAGGAAGCTGGTGGTGCCGAGGGTAATGCCCCAGACCAAGGGCCCGTACCTGGTGGGCCTTTTGCCCTTGTACTTCCAGCGAGAGTCGTTGCCAAGAAGAAAGTAATGAAGAGCCGCGCCGAGGGGTACGGTGACGACGAGGCCCGCGAGAGCAATGCTCAGAGCCTTCTTCCCAGCACGTTTTACTGGTTTGAAATCAAGCTCTAAACCCACCATGAACATGTAGTAAAGGAGGCCCAAGCTTGCAATTGTTTCTATTGTCAAGAAGTTGTGGAAAGGAGCTATGTACGCGCGAGCAAAGTTTATACCACCGATAACAGATGGACCCACTAGCACGCCACCCTCACAAAAGAAAAAAAAACATACAGTAGCAATTCCTCAAATAAATTATTTGATAGTCAACCGATTTGGTTGATATGTTTCTTTTCTTTTCTTTTCTTTTTACAAGGATAATTCTTAATGGAGATTGAAAAAAAAAGTTGGTTCGGATAATCAAAATACAATGGTACAATTCACTCAACAAATGGTATTTCAAATAGTGTTCATTAATGGATGCATATTGAGGCTAGAACTTATGTGTCACTGTTGAAAATGCAATCAACAAATTATACTCAATTCTTATTTTATACGAATTGACACATATAACACGTTAATACAGATAATAATAACAAACGAACTATTGTGTTAGCGCCTAATTCCGAACATGGATGAATAACACAATTTTGACATGAAAATCCTATTGAACTCACGTTGTACGAAAGTAGATTTCAAATTTTTTTTCTTTTTCGCATTTATATAAGAAGATATGACATTTCAATATTCATAAGAGCTATAAGACTACTTACAAGAATATCAGCGACAATACGAGGCTGGTGCAGGGGCTTGAAGGCAACCATGAGAATGCGAGTGACGAGCATGACGATGACCAATTGGCTGTTGAGCGATGGGAGAGATCTGTTGGTGGGGGTTTCCGCATGCCAAAAATCTCCTCTCATGAAAACTGTCATATTATAACATACCCGCGCTGTTGCATCTCCTGATCCTGGTGGACTCATTGATATACTCTTATCTATTTACTTCTTTGATTCCTCCTTCGTACGACGACGTCGTCTTCTTCTTCTTCCCTTTACATATGCCTCCCTTGTTTCCCCAGCTACAAAGAAAAGTAAATTCACCAGAGAGAAATGTGTATATATATATAGGTGAAAGGCCCTGCCCTAAACGTTCTCTCTGTTTTGTACAGCTTTTCATTTTCAGTTATACACCAGCTCTACATAGCCAACTAATTTAAACCATGTAACCAACTAACCATTTTCAATTTTAATAAGTTACTCTTCGTTTTTACTGTCTCCTTCTCTCTCATTTTCATTGAATCTCATCCACTCAAGCTCATTTAGATGAAATCTAATGGTGGTCGCTTTATGTGGTAAGATCTCTTGTAATTTTTATTTTATTTTATTTGTTTCCAACGTCATTTAAGTTGAAAGGATCGAACGTTTTCACCTTTTAAGTAATTTTCTTAACTGAAAAATAAACCTTTGGATTGTGTTTTGATGAAGTAAATGGTTTTTGATTTTTGAGGGAATAAGAAGAAAGGAGGGAGAGTTAAGAAAATGACATCTTCAAACTTGAAACTAACACTTGGAATGATAAATTCGAATGGGTTACTTGAATGTGCTCCTAAGTTAAAATTTATAGAGAATGTCAGAAAATCTAAATTAAGGAGGCCTCTTGGAGCTCCAAGAAGAGAGAAATGAACTCCTAATAACTCTCTATCATTAATGATTAATAATTTAATACTATTTTAAATGAATTTATCCTATTATAGAACCATCATCATGATTCTTATTTTCAGGTTCAATTTTTTTTTTAAAAATTTTATTTAAAGAGAAATTGGTAGAATTTATTCAATAGAACAAAGCGCTGACATGTATACTATGGCCATGTTAAAACCTTCTTGGAGATAACTACGTGGGATAAAATCCTAGGATAAAAAAGAGTACCACACATGCCATCAAATAACAAAACCAAAATCACGTACAAATCATCATGTACAAGAGTATCTTGGAGCCAATCAGGGGGAATCCCAAACCATTCATGCCTATGAGAACCTCCAGAATAGGACAAAGCATAATTGGCCAATCGATCAGCTACTCCATACGCTCACATCATCCA